GTATATTTATGCCAAATTGCTTTTAGAAAAATTTATGTATGTAGCCACTTGGAAAAGAAATTATTAGTTTCACTGTACAATGTGAGAAGTAAAAGTGGGTCCTTGGATTTTTGCAAAGTTACTTAGTAACTCCATTTGGATAATTTGTTTCTTGCTTGCTAATGCCGTTTACTATAAATCAATTTATATCCATATTTTAGTCCAGTCTAGGAGTATGGTTAAGAGTACTTATCACTAGATTATCATTTTTTCCAGGAATGCTTAGAACTTCTGCTCCTTCATATTATCCATGTTGCAGTAGGCAAAACATAGCATTCATATTTCCCTAGGCAAATATAGAAGTATTTAATTGGATTAGAGTAAATTGGAAGAGTCCAGCATTCTCTTAATGTCTTTTACTGAAATCTTTTGTTCACAGAGAATATCTTACCCAGTGTTTAATATTGTGGTATGGGATTTACCATCTGTCAAATATCACTGTGAGGGATTTACTTCTACTAAAGAGCAGTTTAGACATGACTAAAACCTATCTACCGGTTTTCTATTTCAGGATTTGCCTTGAACCAAACTGACATTTTTTATATATAAATAAATAGTAGTTCATACTGATATCTCTGATTCATATCCACCACAACAGGGTGCACTGTAGCTTCCCCCTTGCTTATTTGAAAGAGAACATCTTTCTCTGACAGTGAAAAACCTGGCTCTCATCACCTTTGTTTTTGAAAGATATTTTCACCATGTATAGAATTCTAGGCTGACAGTGTTAATCTTTCAGTACTTTTAAAGGTTTTTATCCACTGTCTGCTTGCTTGTGTTGCTTCCCATGAGAAATCGGCTGTCATCCTTATCTTTGTTCCTCTGTACATATTGGGTCTTTTTTTTTTCTCTCTGGCTGCTTGTAAGGTATTCTTTCTGTCACTGGTTTTCAGCAATTTGATTTTGATGTCCCTTGGTGTAATTTTCTTCATGTTTCTTGCTTGGGGAATTTGTGGAACTTCTTGGATCTGTAAATTTGTTGTTTTCATCTAATTTGGGAATTTTTTACCCGTTATTTCTTCAAATAATTTGTCCCCCTTCTCTCTCCTCTCCTTTGGGACTCTGGTTATCTATATATTAAGCCACTTGAATTGTCCCACAGGTCAATGATGCTCTTTCAATTTTCTAGGTTCTTTTTTTCTCTCTTGGTTTCATTTTGCATGGATTCTATTCCTGTGTCTTGAAATTCATTAATCTTTTTTTCTTCCATGTCTCACCATCAATGAATTCTGTCCTGTGTATTTTTCATCTCAGACATGATAGTTTTCATCTCGAAAAGTTTGACTCTCTGGGGCGTTTTTCTGTTTTGTTTTTTAAATATTTTTTATGTCTTGACTTAATTTTTTGAACATATGGAATATAGTTATAATAACTGATTCTTCTTTATATGCTAGTTCAACATCTGTGTCATTTCTGGGTCAGTTTTCATTGATTGATTATTCTCATTGTTATAGGTTGTGTTTTCCTGCTTTGTATTTCTCATAATCTTTGTTTGGATACCAGACATTGTGAATTTTACCTTGTTAGATGCTGGGTACTTTTGGATTCTTATAAATGTTCTTGATCTTTGTTTTATGATGAAGTTGAGTTACTTGGAAATATTTTAATCTTTTTGAGTTTTACTTTTATGATTTGTTTAAGCCAATCTAGAACCATTCCCTGTCTGGGGCTCATTATTTCCCACTACTGAAGCAAATTCCTTCTGAACTTTCTGCCCAGTTCCACATGAACTATGAGATTTCCCAGTCTAGCTGGTGAGAACAAGCACTATTCTTGGTCTCGGTTATTTTCCTCACAAACATGCACTGATCCGGACTCTGCTGAATACTCAAAGACGACCTTCTGCAGATCTCTGGAGTTCTCTCTCTGTGAAGCTTTCTCTTCCTCATGCACTGCTCTCATCTGCAACCTCTAGCTGCCTTGGTCTCCACAAATTCTTAGCTCCATCTCCTCAGCACAGGAAGTCAGTTGAGCTCTGCCTGGTTCTTGCTCCCTGTGCCTCAGCCTGGAAATTCTTATAAGGTAGTAGGCAGGGGCAATTTTAGGGTTCACCTTGTTTATTTTCTGTCTCTCAGGGATTGCTCTCTTTTGTTGGCTGATGTCCAGCATCTTGCAAACTATCATTTCATACATTTTGTCTGTTTTTTGTTGGTTTCTTTCATTCTTTTAAGTTTCAGGGAAGAGGGTAAAGCCAGTCCCTGTTTTCTCATCTTTGCCAAAAGAAGCCTGAGGTCATTTACATCTTCTGTGTCCTGTGTGTGGAATGCCTTACCCCACATATCTGTGTGGTCAACTCCCTCACCTCTTCTTTCTGTTTAGCAGTTTTTTATTAGCTGCTGGACATTACAAATGTTCTGTTGTTGTATCTCTAGATTTTGCTGTCTTGCTTTAAAGGAGTGATGAGTTTTATTTTAGCAGCCATTTACATTATCTGTGGATCAGCTTAATCCTTTTGAGGCTTGTTTTTAAGCTTTGATAGGATTAGGTTTATAGTACTTTTTACTCCAGGGCTACTTTAGCTCTACTTCTTAAGGCATGACTATTTGGAATACAACAGGTGTTCAACAAGGCCTCTTCACTTCAGCTGCTTACAAATTGTAATGTCTCCCAGGCCTGAGTGAGCTCTGGGAATTGTTCAATTTACAGCTCTTAGTAGTTGTTCTTTGCCCAACTTCATGGAGTGAACCCTACTCATGTGGAGCTTAGTATTCGGGCAGACTCAAGATGACCCTAGGGAAATTTCTGGAGCTCACTCTTTGCATAGCTGCCTTCTGTGCCACACTCTGCCCTGAAAATTGCAGTCTCTTCACCCTCCTCAAACTCTAATCCCTGTCTCTTCAACTCAGTGACACTACTATTTCTGCTCCCTGTGTCACAGCCCAGAAAGTTCCCTGTCTGAAAGCTAAGACTTCACAGAACTCCCCCTTCTCTCATACATCATAGTCCTTCATTACCTATTTCTAAAAACAGTTGTCTTATGTATTTCTTCTGGTTTTTCAGCAGAATGCAAGTCTAGTACCAGTTACTCTGTTATGGCCAGAAGCAGACATCTTCAGAGTGATATTTTTAATACACAAGTTAGGTCATGTCTCTCCTCTGCTCAGAACTATTCACTGGCTCCTCATTTCAGTCAGAGAAGAAGCCAGAATACTTACAATGGCCTACAAGACTCTGCACGATCTGGTTCCCCTGTTGCCTTTCTTTCCCGTATCCTACTGCTCCTCCCCCAGCTTATTCCAGTCTAGCCAAACCATGCTTCTTGTTATTTCTGGAACCACTGGGCATGCTTCCACCCTAGGACCTTTGTGCCCTTTGCTTCCTTTGCTTGGTCAACGCTTTCCTTAGATGGCCACGGATAGCCATGTGGCTAACTCCCTTAGTTCTCTCAAGTCCTCCAACTTCTCGATAACCATCTTATTTGAAATTGCTACCACCTCCTCACCATCTCCCTTTTCCTCTATTTTCCCTACACTGCTCTGGAATTTTTCTTTTTTCCCATAGAATTACTCCTTCCAGACATACTGTTTTTGCTTATTTATCTGTCATGTTCCTTGTTTAATGGTGCCCTTTTCCCCTTTAAAACTCGAGCTCCACAGGGCAGAGATCATTGTCTGTTTTGTGCACTATTACGTGGTATGCACTCAGTACATAATTTTTTTTTTACTTTGTTGGATGTTTAATAAATTGAGCATCAAAAGTATAAATATTAGTATGTTTCTTTCTTCTCAAAAGTTCCTTAAGCTTAAAGATTATAACCAGCAGGACTAAATTTTCCTGCCTTCATCAGTTATTATTACGCATCATTAATTGAAATGTTACATCCATGTTTAAAATTTCTGTGCCTTATATTTCTAAAAGACTTTACTATAGTCAAGAATTCCACATTCTAATAACTATAATCAAGGTTTAAAGTCCGCCTTGAACGAACCAAAATTTTTCTTTCACAGTAAAATTATAACTGGGATGTGTTAGTTCTTTTTCTTCTTATAGCAAAATACTTGTAACACAGTAAAGAAGTCACAGATATATTTTAATAGAAATAGCCTAACTTAGGCAAAAGTGGGAATGTTTTGGCTCTCAGAATTCCAAAAAAGACTTGAGTAACTAAACCATAAAGAGTAGGGATATAGGTAGTGGTATGCTGGAGTTGCTTGTGTTGGCTCACAGGAGCCAATTGTGCATATCTCTTCCCAATTCCATATTCAATGATGTCATGTGGGTAGCTTGAGATTGACCATGGTGAGATTGTTTCCACTGGGAAGTCAGCAAAGGCTGCAAATCAGGGCTCCTTACCCCCACCCCTCCACACACCCTAGCCCCACACAGCCACTTGTTAACCCTTTGTTACCACACCTCTGGATTTGAGCAGACATCAGAAACAACTAGCGTTAGGGGCTCAAATGCCTCTGGAACTCCTATTAGAAATCTGTCTCTTTAGAGGTTGAGTTCTCTCAGGGAAGATTGCCTTTCTCTATATGGTGAGATAGTTGTCCCATGATACCTCCCAAGTCTTATGTACTATCACATACTCTGACACCACAGAGAAACTCACTTTGTCTATTGCAGTTTGAAAAATACTAGCAAAGGTCTCTGGTTAGATGCCCACCTCTGGGCAGTCAATTCAGAGGTGAGGGTCAGGGGTTGAAAGGCATTCAGGGAAATGAGATCATGTAAGAACTTGCATATCCCGAAGGAGCCATGCGAATAGGAATCAGCTTCCAGGAGAAGAAGAGAGGGACAGTACAGAGCGGACAGTTCTATGATGAATTCTATACGTTAAAATATAAAATTTGGCTAAATTGGAATACAAAATAGTTCCAAAAACAGCATCACGTATTTGGAGTTATTTTAAACATAGTTGAGAAATCATAGTTATTGTAATACTTTAAATAAAACATCTGTTTTTTAATATGGTAATTTAAGTCCTACAGTGAGTTTACCGAACTATGCTTTCTGTTTAGGGTTTGAACTACAGTTCCGATTAGGCCCAACTTTACAGGGAAAAGCAGTTACTGTGTATACAAATTACCCATTTCCTGGAGAAACATTTAATCGAGAGAAGTTCCATTCCTTGCAATGGGAAAATCCAACAGAAAGAGAAGATGATTCTGATAAATACTGTAAACTTAATCTTCAACAAGCTGGATCATTTCAGTATTACTTCCTTCAAGGGTAAGTCAAGTGTACTGTATGTGAATAGAGGGTAATCTATTCTATAACGAAGCTATTAACATGTAAAAAGTTACTATATGAATCGTGACAGTGCAGTTTTTACAGGACTTTTTTGAGATGCAAATAGACTATGGTTCTTCAATTTCTAGCAAGTAATTGTAAGGGTCATTGCAGATTCAAAGTATTTTTTTTTTAAGTAATGGCTTAAATACTCAAGTCTTTTCATGCAACCTGATTATAGGATGCTAGTCACTTGACTGCCCTTGTTATTACTAATAGATTTTAGTACAGTTATTTTTCCTTAAAGCAATATTATTAGATGTTATATATTTTGTATTATATCATTATATAGAGTTTGAAAAGGATAAAACATGGCTTTTCCATTGAGTTTTATTACAACTTTTTAAGTGATTTTAGAGAATCAGACTATTAGATGATTTTTTTTCCTATCATTAACTGAGAAGTTTTGTTTTGTTTTTTTCCTTAGAAATGAGAAAAGTGGTGGGGGTTACATAGTTGTGGATCCTATTTTACGTGTTGGTGCTGATAATCATGTGTTACCCTTGGACTGTGTTACTCTCCAGACTTTTTTAACTAAGTGTTTGGGACCCTTTGATGAATGGGAAAGCAGACTTAGGGTTGCAAAAGAATCAGGTAATGTCACCTTTCTTTTCTTTTTTAAAATAAATGTAATTGTCCTCTGTGATACAAATTTCAAAAGCTTTGATTCTTTTTTTGATTTTGGTGCTTAGTACATTTAGTAATAGATATAGAACCATATGATATTGTTGATAATTGACCATTTTTAACCTATAAAAATGGCAAATTATATGGTTCAACTTAATAAATTAAGGAACTCTGTGATAAAAAAAGAGGACTATTGTTTCTAAGACTTTACTTTGACATAAAAATTAGTAGTAAACTATTAAAATGTGTCGGGAAATGTATTGTCATTATATATAATTTTAATCTAACATTGATTAACTATCTTCCATGTGGAAGGCCTGTGCTGCCATACATACCAAGAGTAAAATGAAACTTGTATCTGTCTCTTCAGTAAAGGGTAATATTAATTTGAATAGTATTAAGTTGCATATAGTATGAAGAAAGAAATGAGAAGCTCGCTGACATGACTGAAACAGAATACAAGTACTGTGGGAGATTAAAAGTAGGAGAAACACTTACTGCTATACTTGCATAGGACATATTTTCTACATGTAAATATATCCATTCAGCAAATATACATTGAACCCCTAATAGTAACTAGGCACTGTGTGTGATTTTTTCAAATACGTTTTCTCAGTATCCCTGTCTTGTATATGAGGACACTGATACCCTGAAGATTTAAGAAGACTTACTTCAAGTCACTTGTGGTACAGCTAGGATTTGAACCCAAGTCTTTGATTCCTTTTCTAGTAGCATGGTTGTCTTGCTATTAGAATTCTTTAAGGAAATTTAAACTTACATTTTGCTTAGTTTTAGGCGTTTTTTTCCTTACAAGTATTTTCTTGCATTACAGGTTACAACATGATTCATTTTACACCATTGCAGACTCTTGGACTATCTAGGTCATCCTACTCCCTTGCTGACCAGTTAGAATTAAATCCTGACTTTTCAAGACCTAATAAAAAGTATACCTGGCATGATGTTGGACAGCTAGTGGAAAAATTGAAAAAGGAATGGGATATTCTTTGTATTACTGATGTTGTCTACAATCATACTGGTATGAGCTTTATTAACTATTAATTTTTATGAGAATATTATATTCTAATTATTTTATTCCTTGGTGTTTTATATGACATAAATTTTGAAAATACAAATGATGCTTAGGTGTCCTTTAATTTAAAAATCGCTTAAATAGTACCACTTTTTTCTTTCAAAGAAAAAAATGTTAGTTGAAAATATAATCAATATGTAAGTATTTTGCATGTGATGATTATAAAAAACAGGAGAGTGATGATAGGAGGGACATAATGGTCACGTATTTCAACTTACGGTATTAGTACTTTGTAGACCAACAGATGGATCCTATATAGCAGCAGCTCTGGTACTATAGCATATATTTGAAAAAAACTGAATGGTTATTATTTAAAGAGAAAATTATTGGTAAACTCTTAGAAGTTAAATCTGAAAATTATATCTTTTACATGTTAAAAGAGCTTATTAAAGTTAACCTGTTTTGGATCCCAAGATTCCTGCCCAATACACAATTCTGTAAAATAGAGCAGAGCTTCCCAACAGATGGTCCTCAGGGAGATGATTGCTCCCCTCACCTGTCAGAGCACCTGGGGCTGGGGAAGCCTCTGGCCATGATCAGCTTTCGACTTAACCCAGTGTACCTTGCAAATATTATCTTCTGTGTGTGCCACAGTGTAGAAAAGTCCAGAAACCACTGATTTCCATACGTGAACAACAGGAGTTCTGGGTGGTACAAAACATTTAACAGTAAAGAAAAAATCTGGTGTGTCATAAAGTAGTTTTCCAAGTAACCATAGGAACTATGAAGATATTTAAAAGCTCGAAGATTTGGTTGATCAGTATAGATAATCTCTAATAATAATAAACAATGAAAATTAAGCAAAGAAATGGATACATTCTAAAATTTGGTGTTTCTGCATGCACCTGGAAACTAAGCATCAGAGTTCACAGTGAAAATTTCTTATTCTCCAAGAACTCAGTATTCTTCACTTGAAAATTTGACATTATTGATAATTATATTGACATCTATGATATTATTCACATCAAATTTATCAAACCGCGTAATGGCGTTCATTGTATGAGTTAGGATATGGCTTAAGCAGCTATAACAAAGAGACAGAAAACTATAATGACTTGAGACTGAAATTGCATTTATTTCTTATAAAATATTAGGTAGGCATTCCAAGACTGGTATGGTGGCTCAGTGGTGATAGGGAACTAGGTTCTCTTTTGCTGTCATGTTGCTCTGCTGTCTCCAACACTTTGCTTCCAACTCTTAACTAAATATGGCCACTCCAGTTCCCAATATCACCTTCTACCCCATGGAAATGAGGAAAGGGAAGACATGCCTTTAAGGGCGTGATCTGGTGTATATATCATTTCTACTCACACTGCATCAGATAGGATGTTGTCTCTTGTCACACTTAGCTATAAAGGAGGCTTGCGCTGTAGTCTTTTGTTTGTCAGCCATATGTACAGCAAAACCTTGGGAGTTCTGTTACTAAAGGAATAAAAGAATAAAATTTGGAGTACAGCAGCAGTCTCTGTCAGAGACTATATTTCTGGACCATTTGAGAGATTCTGTGCAATGCAGAAAAAGTGAACTTTGCTTCAGCCTTACTTGGAAAATACTGCAAATCATAATATCCTTTCTGTGAAACAGGTTTTCATTAAAAAGTTACTATCTAGGGAGAGTCAGCTTCCAGAGTAGCAACATGAGGGCCTCACAGACCTTCTATCCAGCAAAACAACTATAACTGGTGAAAATTATTTTGTAAGAAGTTATTTAAAATCTCTGGAAATTGTCCTAGGGCATTCAGCATATGGAGAAGCATTTATCCAAGAAAATCTACTACATCTCAATAAGAACAGTGAGAGTCTGTGACATTTGAACCACAACCTGCTCCTCCCTCCCCACTCTGCCCCAGGCTGAGAATGATGATAGGTCTACTCCTGGCAGGTGCAACCGAGAACACAAGCCTCCCTTTCTCCCCAGCTCCCAGGCTAGGGTTACAGTTGAAAGGGGCAGCCTTCCAACAGTTCTTATCCTACCCTGCAGTGCTGTGTTGCAGAAGCTCTATTCCAGGCAAGAGCAGCTGGTCTGGGGCTCCCTTCCTTCACCAAGCCCCCACTTATAGAAGGGAAGTTCTACCCCATGTGTGACAGGTCAAGAATACTGGGCCTCAGTGGCCCTTGCCCCAGCTCGCTTGTGAGAGGTAAGCCAAGAACACCAGAGGCTACCATCCCCACCACCAGCTGTGGAGCACTGACACAGGTGTTCTGCCTGGGGGAAGAGATGTGCAGTAAGAGCAGAGAAAGAACGAAATTGGCTTTATTTGGTACATGGCATGGGAAAATTTAAGGCTTTGGACACTTGAAAACAATGGAGACTTTGGTGGTAAACAGTCAAGAGAAAGCTGGTATCTCCAGGAGAGCAACATGCTAAACCATATGCCAGCTAGTAGTTTAACAGAGAGAACCAGGGAAAGAGACAGCTGCAAGAGCCCTCCTAAGGTCAGAACAAGCTTCAAAGACTACCCCTGCCAATGGCCCCAAATTTACTTGGATCAGGTTGTGGAGCAATTTATGTTCCAGCATATTATCAAGTAATAATAGCACAGTCAGCCTGCATTAGTGGAGAATAGCAGCTGAGTGTGATAGCAATAGAGACAGGCAGCTTAACAGAGTTCAGGGAAAGAGACTGTTATGGGAGCCCTGCTAAAAACCACTGTTATCCCTGGCTGACTGACTGTGACCAAGGCTGCACTCTCTGAGTAGCAATATCAGAGGCTGCACACTGTAGGGGAAATGGCCTTCGCTGAAATAGTCCAGCCAAGTCACAGGCAAGCAACCAACAAGACCTGGAGGGGATGGGATCAGTATCCAGAGTTGCTGCAGTACATTACCTAAATTGCCTGATTTTCAACAAAAAATTGAGACATGCAAAGAAACAGCAACGTGTGACCCATACACAAGAAAAAAGGGGGCAACAGAAATTGCCCTTTGAGAAGTCTTAGATGTCATATTTAGCTGATACAGACTTCAAAGCAACTATTGTAAATGTATTCAGAGAACTAAATGAAACAAGTTTAAAGAAGTAAGGGAGGGTATGATGATGATATCTCATCAAAAAGAGAATATCATAAATAGACAGAAATTTTTAAAAAAGAACCAATTGGGAATTCTGTAGTTGAAAAGTAAATAACCAAAATGAAAAATTCACTAGAGGTGTTCAGCAGTATATCTGAGTTGACAGAAGAAAGGATCAGTGAAGAGGGATGTGATCTGAAGGACAGAAAAAAAAGATAGAAGGGAACAGAGCTCCAAAGAAATGTGGGACATCTTTAAGCACACCAACATGGGCATCATGGAAATACCAGAAAGAAAGAAAAGAACGGAAAAAATACTTCGAGAAATAATGGCTGAAAACTTCCCAATCTTCAAAATTTGATTAAAAACATTACTCTTGGGCCAGCCCGGTGGCGCAGCAGTTAAGTGTGCACATTCTGCTTCAGGGGCCCGGGGTTTGCTGGTTTGGATCCCAGGTGCGGACATGGCACTGCTTGGCAAGCCATGCTGTGGCAGGCGTCCCACATATAAAGTAGAGGAAGATGGGCATGGATGTTAGCTCAGGGCCAGTCTTCCTCAGCAAAAAGAGGAGGATTGGCAGCAGATGTTAGCTCAGGGCTAATCTTCCTCAAAAAATAAATAAATAAATTCTCAAAAAAAAAATTAATCTTCACATCCTAAAGCTCAGCAAACTCCAAGTAACATAAACCCAAAGAGAGCCACATTGAGACAGATCATAGTAAAAATTTTGAAAACCAAAGACTTAGGGAATCTTGAAAGTAATATCTTGAAAGGCAGAGATTGCCAGAGTCAATAAAAAAACAAGATCCACCTATATGCTGTCTACAGGCAACATACCTTAGATTGAAAGATACAAATTGACTGACAGTAAAAGGATGGAAAAAGATATACCAGGACCTGGTAGCTCAGAGTTTCCCTCTCTGATTGCCCCTGGGACGGCACACCTTGGGCATACACACCGTCTTCCAGACTGCCAGAGATGAATGTGATTTTCTGTTTAAGCCTGGCTTCCTAGGAGTCACCCTGGGTCAGAGTAGTTTATTGTTCATTTGATATTTGGTTAGAGGTTGCGTTTAAGTCCCTTTACCAGTGAGCTTCTGTCCTGTGTTAATAAGTCTGTATGTGGTTTGGTGAATGCCTTCAAGTCTTTCCCATGTCCTGCTAGGATTGCTCCTGAGAGGGTGCAGGGTAGCACATGCACCCAGCCTTCCCAACCCCCAGAATTGCCTGTGATCCCAGGAGGGCTCTCTGCTACCTCTTTCCCTGATTCTCGCCATTAAACTTCTGGTTGCTCTGATTTTTTTTTTTTTTTTTTTTGGTGTCACAGAGCTATACCAGCCTTCTCTTAATTGCTCCTCACCAAGGTCTCCATTATTTTCAACATCAGCCTTAGGCATGGGGTTCTCCACTCACTGTTCCAAGTAAATTCAGTCCTTTCAGGCAGGGCTCTTCATCCTTTTGGTCTGCCTTTCCCCCTGAACAGAACACCTGTGCCACTGCTCCTGAGCCAGGGGCAGGACCACTTTTCCTGCCACCCCATTTTGGGGGCACTCAAGGCAGAAGGCGGCAGTCCCTGGTCTTCTCAATTGCCCCTCCCCAGGTGGACCCTCCACCCTGCAAGTGAGTCCCAGCTCTTGGGAGAGATGGGGTCTTGGTATTCTTGGCCTCCCACAGCTGGGATAGGACGGCCACCCTACAAGTGGGGGCTGGGTGGGGGAAGGAAGCGGTGGTTTTCTCTGCCTGCCTGTGTGGAATAGAGCTGTGACATGAGGCTAGAGGGAATGAGAAACAGCTTGCCTCTCCCAGGGTGAAACTATAAGCCCAGACTAAGACTTGGAGGCAGAGGAAGTCTCTGTTGGCCACACTTGCCTCGAGTAGAGCACCAGGTTAGGGCTTCCCAACACATAGCTGGTTGAGTGGGATGAGGGAGCAGGTCGTGGTTCAGATGCCATAGACACTTGCTGTTCTTACCAAGAGTTACTAGATTTTCTTGAATAAATGTTTCTCCATTTGCCAAATGCCCTTAGGACAATTTCCAGAGACTTTAAATGATTGTATTTTATAATTCTCACCAGTTAAATTGTTTTGCTGGAGAGAGTGTCTGCTAAGTTCCTTACTGCACTGCTCCCAAAGTCCATGTTTCATTTTTAATTTTGATGTATATTAAGACATAGTTTGGAATTTGACTCCTCTTTCAGGTAGAATTAGAAAAAATGTTTAAAATTCATTTTATACTTAATTTTATTTCAAAAAATTGAGATAAGAAATAAAGTTTCAGGATTTTACCACTTAAAAAATTAGGGTAGTTTTAGTATTTATTCTTAATAAATCGGATTTAATTATCACTGCATTTTTCTCTTACATGTTGAATTTTAATGACTGTGATAATGAATCTAGGGAAAACTATCTTGATTCAAATTTGGAGAATTATCAATTTAACTTTTATTACAACGTCTCTGCTCCTTATGTTTCCTGTATTCATCCAAGTGTTTGTTTATTATATAAATAAATGGTAAATATATAAATAAATAGTATTTATAAATAAGATATAAATAAATGATTTACAAAAGAAATGGCTGAAACTAAAAATAATTATTTTAAACCTCTGTAAGGATTGTAATGGTGCTCAGCTAAGTAAATGAGGCATGAACACATTCGCCGCTGCCGCAGAGCAAAGTGGTTAACGTTGCAGGTTCTGAAGAGACTTGCCCAGGTTCACTCCTGGCTGTGTGACTTTAGTTGAGTTACTTATCTCTCTGTGCCTCAGTTTCTCATCTATGAAGGAAACATGGTAGTATGTCCTACATTATGTGGTAAGGCATGAGGATTAATAAATAGTGCATTTAACTGCTTAGAACAGTTCCTGGCATGTGGCAGGTATTTAATAATTGTTATTACTTTTTATTTCATGCACATTACACACTCATGCTCCTCAGTATGAATTCAGGGGGCATTAGTCCATTTTAAAGATCAAACAAAATGTATATAATTTTTCTCTTTATTTAAAAAATTAAAACAAATTATCTTTAATGTTACAAATACTTAGAATGCCTTACAGAACTCCTGATTCTGATTCTGAATTTACTAATACAAATGGGTAATAAGAATAAGCTAGACCCTTGTTCTTTGAGTACATTTCTTTTAGCAGTTTCTCAGCCTCGCTTTTATCAGTCTTATCAAAACAACATATCTGATTAACCATTCAGGATTGAACAAAGTTACCTATGAGAGAACTAAATTTTCTTCCATCAGGATTGTCTAAGCAGAAATAAAAATACCAAAAAAGACCAACACCTTTCTAAAATGAAAGCTCATGAGGACAGGAGCCTTGCTTGCTATTCACTACAGAATACCTGCTCCAGAACAGTGCCTGGGATATATTACATTTTCAACGTAGATATATGTAGACTGGGTGAATGGATTTTGAGTTCACAGGCTGTCCTCAGGCATTGCTGCCCATCAGGTGCATAGGTGGATGTGCTCAGGCCCCCGCTGGAGCCTGGACCAGGTTAAGAGAGCTGGGTACTGAGAAGAGGGGTGGGATGGGAATGGCATGTTCAAAGAAAGAGGAGGACTAAGATATGTAGCAAACCTCCCTCAAAGGTTTAGGGGAGATGGGAAGGAGAAGAGAAGGGGCAAAAGAGGGAAGGAAAAATAAAAAACAACCAAGATAAGGGTGCCTTTTGTACATCAAGGAAGAGGTATTTTGTAACTAAAGGAAGACTAATCAGTAATGGCAAATGTTGTAGAGGTTGAAATGGATGAAGACAAGAAAGTAACACTAAATTCCATGATTAGGCAGCTTGGAGTAACCTCGCTGGAGTGCTGGATACAGAAGCAGATTGTATTGGGAAAAGGAATGAGGGTATGGGGAGAAAGTGGAAGCAGCAGATATGGGTTGGATTTTCAAGACATTTGGTCTTGATACTAATATACTACGCAGAAGTTAGAGAAATAACTGTGTTTAGATAGGATGTATGTTTGTATTCTTAGCTTTGGGAGATACAAGCATATTTAAAGATCCAGAGGAACCTCCCCTCCCTCCCCTCCCCCAGAAAAAAACACAGGAAGAGACGATTTTGTAGGAAAAAAGTTGTAAATGACATTTTGAGTTCTAAAGATAGATAAGAGTACCTAAAGCTTAGATGGGCCAAAGAAGGGCCCTCTCACTAGGAGACTAAAAGTAAAGAAGAGAAGCACCTGAGGAAAGTAATAAAAAAGGAAGATATTATCCTGCCCTAGAAGCAAACAGCCTAAACCAGAGTTGAAGATACAGGTAACTTTCAGCTTTAACAAGGCCAGAGAACTTGAAGTCAGGGCAGGAACCCCATCTCCCTTACAGGAAAAGATGTCCTTGGGGCTTAGAAGGAGCATTCCAAAATATAGTCGGACTCAAGGACCATCAAAGCAGGCCGAGGACAAGACCCTTCTTAACTCCTACCACAATAGTAAACCTGTCATTACAGTGGTGTTAATAAATCAGCGTTGCCTCCTATCTACTATCAATTAAAAATTCCTACAACAGAAAAGAAAAATGTGAAGTGGAGATAGGATACTGCAGCCAAAAAAATATTTTTCATATTACAGTATCATTATAAAATATTGATGTCTAATGTATAGGAAAATGAGTGGTAGATGATATTTTCTTTCACCTTTAAATTTATCATAGATACTAACATAGATACTTCAGTTTAATTACAAGATATTCCTTTATGTTTTTTTTTTCTTTAAGCTGCTAATAGTAAATGGATCCATGAACATCCAGAAAGTGCATATAACCTTGTGAATTCTCCACACTTAAAACCTGCCTGGGTCTTAGACAGAGCACTTTGGCATTTATCCTGTGATGTGGCAGAAGGGAAATACAGAGAAAAAGGAGTACCTGCTCTGATTGAAAATGATCATCAAATGAATGTCAGTATGTCTAGAGGAGTACCACACTAAAACAGAAAAACAAAATTTCTAAAGTGCAAATTAAACAAATATATGGTTGAAAATTATTTAGAATCTGTCTTTTAATATGCTAAATAATATTTAGTAAAAATATTTTAAGTGTATATATATGTATTTTTTAACTATTGAAATTTTTCAGTGCATTCGAAAAATAATTTGGGAGGATATTTATCCAAAGATTCACCTCTGGGAATTTTTCCAAGTAGACGTTCACAAAGCAGTTGAGCAATTTAGAGGACTTCTTACACAAGGTAAAGGATCTACAACTAGAATGCTTCTATCAATTTTAAGAAATTTAGTGATACTTTTAAAAGGATAACTCTTAACATGTTATTAAATCTGTTATTATATGATATTAGTGTTGTTTTTGATACTACAAAAATAGGATTCTGGAAGCTATCTGAGAGTTAGCAGAGACATCTAAAGGACAGGTCACAATAATACATAACATAATTATTTCCATTGGGGACTTTCTTACAATTGATTCCTTAGCATAGAGCTCAGATTACAGTAGAGCTCAATATATATTTGTTAGATGCATGAGTGAGAGGTAAGTAGAGCAGATTATTTCACCTGCCAAAGGCTTGAAACAGGCTTTCAAACTGACAGATGTAATAGTCTTCTGTTGGCTAAAGTAGAAATCTTAACTGAGGCGGGGTCTTCCAGCTGATGGTACCCAGCATTAATGCCACCTAACCACTAGTGAGACTTTCCCAAATGTTAGCCAGTAACAAAAGGTAAAGAAACACATCTTCAGTTAAGGACATAACTAACCTCAAGAAGTTAATCATTGTGTTCTCGACAAAGTAGGGTAGGAAAAACCAGGCTAAAAGAGAAGTTAGGATTTTTAGGAGGCAAATTGGAGAGAGATTATAAAGAATCTATCTACAATTAGTATAGGACCTTCTAACAGCAAGGCTCTTTGATGGCTCTTACAATAAGGAATTCTCCTCCTCGTCCAGACACCAGAGCTAGAGTGGGACCCAGAAATACTGCCTTCAAAGTAGGAGTCAGTGTGACTAAGGTCCAGGAAGCTTAGGGTCAGATTCACACTTCAGCTTTCCCAGTTGTGTAACATCTTAATACCCTTTCACATGTTAATTAGTTTTTCCATTAATTGCCTATTAATGTTCTTTCCCTATTTTTTCTATTGGGTTGTTTGTCTTTTTCATATTCACTTGTAATAATAATAAATTCGGTGATTCCTTATTATGCTGGCCTCAGATATGTCCTCCTATTTTGCTGTTTATCTTCCAACTCTTGTTTATGGTGGTATTTTTTTTCAGTGTAGTCAAATTTGTCAGTCTTTTCTTTGATGGCTTCCAATTTTATATCATGCTTAGAAGAGACCTATCAACATTCTATGTTTTCTTCTAACAATCTTACTTATATTTTACATTTAAATACTTAATACACTTGGAATTTAGTTTTGTATATTATATAAAGAAGGTATTGAACTTTATTTTTATTCAAAAAATGATGTTGAGTTGGTAATCCATCCTTTTTCACTGATTTTGAGAACCACCATATTACTTCATAGCATGTAGTCATATACTGAACTTACATGGGTCTGTTATCTGTGCCATTCCAGTGATCTGTCTGTCCTTTATGCTACCAATAATGAAGACTGTTTTATAATTTACACTCACTGTGTAGCTTTTTCTCTTTTTCAAACATTTCTTGACAGTTTTCATATATTCCTTCTTCCAGATGAACTTCAAAAACTAGATTTTAAGAATCTATTTATATTTTATCTTATTTTGTTTGTGCTTTTTGAAGCCATTTCAAAGTCTCTTTAGAATAAGCTAGATATTGATTAGTTAATATACAATCAGACCCAGTGGAGGCAATCCTGCACAAACATCTGATTTATTAGGATTAAGTTCCAGAAAAGAATGAAAATTCCCCCCATAAAGCATTTATTTACTTTTTTCATTTTTTATTATTATGTGAAGAATATGCTTGTTGGTGAAAAGGAAAAAATTATGAAAACAAACCTATGTGCCTCTTTCAGAGAATACAAAGAAAGTCAGGTTGTTAAAAAGACTTAGTTTAGAAAAGAAAGCAAGCTTTGAGGAATAAGAACTGCTGACGTATTTGGTAGCACCTGGAAAGAAAATTAGTACCACTGACTTCCTTAATGCCCGAAAACATGAGTAGAAAAAGAGAATGCTGACTGAGGCAGAAAAGTGGGACTAGGGTTGAAGTGATGGGAATCCTTATGTTTTTCTTCTGTAATGTTATTTTCTCTTAATCTCTCTCTCGCTCTCCCACCACCCCCACCATGTATGTGTATGTGTGTGTGTTAGATGGTGTGCAGGAGGATGGAGAGGGCGGTAGGCAGGATGCTTGTGAAATAAACATTTGTTTTACTTTCTATGAAAAAATTGTAAACTAAAAACGTGGAATCAGTAACAGTTATCATCTCCTTATGCGTATTTGCATTTAAGATATCATCTTTTCTTTCTTTCAGAAAATAGGAAAATAATATCTCAGCCTGATCCAAAGCAACACCTTAAGATTATTCAGGATCCTGAATACAGACGGCTTGGCTGTACTGTAGATATGAACATTGCACTAGCAACTTTCATACCACATGAGTATGTTATGTATTTTTCCTGTGAAATAGAGAACAATATTACTTATAAACCTTTATGGCTAGCATTATTTTCATACTATTTATTAGAAGCTTGAATAGAAAATGAAATAAAGCAATTCATCATAATTCTACTACTTCAAACACATGACATTTTCCCCCTTTTTCTGTGTGCTGGTCCGCATTCCTGTACGTGTGTATGTAAAAATGTTTACAATTGGAAAATTTCTTCAGCCATAATTAAGATCCTGATGAATATATTTCAAGTTTCTATGACCCTTGTTAAACAAATTTTAAATGGTTGTAAAACCCTGAAATAATAAGTTTGTATTGCTCTACCTGCTCTAGTAATGGGCCAGCTGCAATTGATGAATGCTGTAATTGGTTCCGTAAGAGAATTGAGGAATTAAACGCAGAGAAGCATCAACTTGTGAACTATCATCAGGAGCAGGTTTGACCTACTTTTGAACTGCTATTTTTCTTTGAGTCTTAATACTGTTTGTTGTTGTTCTTGTTGTTTTTATTGACGTAACATAATTTGATGTCTTCTAGGCAGTTAATTGCCTTTTGGGAAATGTATTTTATGAACGACTGGCTGGCCATGGTCCTAAACTAGGACCTGTCACCAGAAAACATCCTTTAGTTACCAGGTATTCCATTTTTGTTTTCTTCTCGTTAAAGGTTAAAAATTGAAAATTGTATTTAACTTTTCAAATTAACTTAAATGTTTCCTTTAATGTGTGACTTCAGTACATTTCTTAATTGAAATAGAAGTTTTGATTGGGTAACTAGGCTTCATATTAATTGATTTTGTTAGGCAAATCTTTAGTGAGAGAAACTGTCATCAGTATGAACCAAGTTATAATCATTTACATTACGGTTTCTGGGGGACTGCATTCTTACTAATAAATTCAGTGTTAATCAAATTGAGCAAGCATTTTGCTCCTTATCTTATAAGTACTTGTGTGTGCAGCATAGATTAGGCAACGAAAGCATAGCAAAAACCTTTACAAAGTAACATCAATATTGCAGTGATTTTCTTAGTAATTTTATGAGATTTTTTAAGTTATTTAAAATGTTAACCAGATATGCTGTAATGCTAACTCTCCATTCTCAACTCCTACTAGATTTATTCAAAAAGTCTACTGAAGATCTTTTACCTATATTGAAGTTTTTTCCCTAAAAATAGTGTCAAACTAATCTTACTTATTCTCTTCCTTAGGGAGGAAGTTTAATTCTGATAGTGCTAACTCAAATTCTCTCCATTGAGTTTCTCTGTATGGATTTAATATTTAATTCTATCTCCATAGATATTTTACTTTCCCATTTGAAGAAATGACCCCATCCACAGAAGAATCTATGATTCATCTCCCAAATAAAGCTTGTTTTCTGATGGCGCATAATGGATGGGTAATGGGAGATGATCCCCTTCGGAACTTTGCTGAACCAGGTGTGTCATTTTTGTTAACTTCTGTATGCATAGAGAAAGAAAAGTTCACCACAAGCTCAAAATATAAACTGTTAGTGATTTTTTTTCCCCACTAGGCTGGTGGTTTTTAGGCTACTTCATCACAGAGGTGCCAGAGGTACATACAGTTTGAGAGAAAAAAGAAGGGGTTGATAAAAAGGATGGCATTCATCTTCTCCTTTCCCTGCCTACCCCTTATCTTCTCAAACAGAGTAGCTTTTATAAATCTATTTTATATTGTGTTTCTGCAAAAGATTTTATTTGGGCAAAAATGTATTCTATTACATTTTTTAAAGACATTTGAAACCACTGCTATTACAGTTATATTGCCATAAGAGATATTTTCACTCATTAGCCAGAGGGGTATTAAGGTATTTGAAAGGCAATTAAACTAGAAACTAATTGTTTTTAGGTTCCCTCTCACTTACTCCTAGCATCTTATTTTCCTACAGCTATTTCATTGTCAGGAAAAATTTTGCCGGGACCCGTCACTGTATTTTTCAACATTTCGGAATTAGAAGTCTGTTTGAATGACATAAATTTAAATCAAAATCTCATTTTTAAAAAAGGAATGTAACTTTAGGTTTAAGAATCTGCCATCTCCTTTATAGCCATTCTAAATGAAAAAAAGCCATTCTGCTGTATGCCATGGATTTAATGTAACCTATTGCCGAAAATGGGGAGTGACATGGGGGTGGAGCTTTAAATATTTTTGTAGAACTCTAGCTTTAGGCCTGTGATATTACTATTACTGTTTTCCTTTAAGAAGGAACTTGAATTTTTTACATTAAGCACACATTTTTAGAAGAGACTATAAGCTAGAATTTTAGCAAAATAGATACAAGATACAAATTAATAATTTTTTAAAACTTTATCCCATACCATTTTAGATATAATTTTAACCAATATATGGGCTGTGGTAGAAATAGTCATTGTGATTTTAAAACAACAGTGTTTCCTTCAAGTGATTATTTTCATTGTACTTCTTGAACCATTGAAAGCAACTCCTTTCTTAACAGGTTCAGACGTTTATCTAAGGAGAGAACTTATCTGCTGGGGAGACAGTGTTAAATTACGCTATGGGAATAAGCCAGAGGACTGTCCTTACCTCTGGGCGCACATGAAAAAATACACTGAAATAACTGCAACTCATTTCCAGGGAGTACGTCTTGATAACTGCCACTCAACACCAATTCATGTAGCCGAGGTACAGAAAAACAATTCATCTATATTACGAAAAGAAATTTGGTATTCTTTCCTAGCTTTCCTGAAATAGAGTATGCAAATACAGTTTCCTTTTGCTAGTTGGACGCCAGCATTGATTTGGTGGTAGTATTGAACACCTTTGCTTGATTTGCAAAATTGTGACAGAATCTTTTGATGCAGTTGTCTTGGAACACTAGGCTATAAAATGTTCAATGAGTTAATGTTTTTATTTTAATTTAAGGAAGTAAATCATATTATCTCTGATAATATGTATACAACCATATTGCCATATATACTATTAAAATATTAATATTTTAATATTATTGGGGCCAGCCCGGTGGTGCAGCAGTTAAGTGCGCATGTTCCACTTTGGCGGCCCGGGGTTCGCTGGTTCAGATCCCAGGTGCAGACATGGCACCGCTTGGCAAGCCATGCTGTGGTAGGCGTCCCACATATAAAGTAGAGGAAGATGGGCATGGATGTTAGCTTAGGGCCAGTCTTCCTCAGAAAAAACAGAGGAGGATTGGCAGATGTTAGCTTGGGGCTAATCTTCCTCGGAAAAATATATATATATATATTTTAATATTATATAAGGAATTAATATTTTAATATATAAATATTAATTTGTCTTCTTGTTAGGTTGCTTTCAGTATATTAGTAGCTGCTGTGAAGTTGAATAGCTCGTTGCATATTATAGTGATTATAATATGTAAAATTATAATGTTTATGTAAAATGTAAATTTGTAATATATAATATGTAATATAATAAATATGTAAAATTATAATATAATATGTAAAAACACTAACAATACAGTATATTGAGGCTAGTTTTAACCTCATTGATTCAATTTTATTAATTTTTACAAAAATGTAGGTGTAAACATAAAGATTGTCTATTTCTCTTTGGTGTTTTTACCGTAACGTAAGCAATGCCAACATTTATAGCATTTTCTTCTATCTAATACAGCTTTGTAAACTCTTATAATTTTCATCCTGTTTATAAGATCAAAGGATAGCTTCCTAGTGACAACTTACTGTTCTGTGGAAATGTGTACTTATCTGAAAAATACCTATTTCTATAATTTTAAAGCAGTATTATACTGTATATGTTTTGAGTCTGTGATGAAAAATTGATTTGATTTAGAAGAACTTAGTAAGCATTAGTTAAGGTAGTAGAACATGTGTTAGCTCCAAAAAATGGCAGAGGTTTATTTTTAAGTGTGCCTTTAGCAACAGCAAAAAATATATACTTGTAAGATTGTTAGAACATTATGGCAAAACATAATATTAAATCTTAATTTGCTTAATTTTAAGGTACGAAATCCTCTAGGGTCTTGCTTGTTTGCCAATAGAATTTCAAGTATTTCATGAACCTTTGTGCAAACGTTATGTTAAAAAAATTTTGAAACTGATCTGATTTCTGAAAGATTAAGAGTTTATTGTAATCTGTAGGAAAAGCTGGCTTCAGTCTAGTCAGTCAGACCTAATCTTTGCAAAGGCTAAATGATTCACCAGCAGGGAATTTATCAATGATGGCTTAGAGTCAACTGCCTGGAAATTAATAGTCTGATTAGAGGTATTAAAAATAAACACGTAAAACAGGGGAAAGCCTAGCAGAATTGCAGTATTATGGTTTACATTTTTTAATGTGACACTAACATTTTTCTTCTTCCTTTTTTCCCCCTTGTGTCCCTATATCTTTGCAAAATCTAATCTTCCTTTGTAAATGTTTTATTCTCTCTATAAATTCTCTTGTTACCTGTGTGTATTGGTTTGTTTTATGTTTTCTTACACATGCACAATTAAATTTATTTGGAAATTCTTCTTGGATTTCCATTTTGTCTTGCTACATCGTACTTTCCTATGTCAAATCCATGCCTAGTCTTGCCTCCTCTTCTTCCCCCTAACTCCAACCTTGCTTTTCTCTTTCTCTTACATTTGTAACTGTGCTTTTTGCAGTACATGTTGGATGCCGCTAGGAAATTGCAACCCAATTTATATGTAGTAGCTGAACTGTTCACAGGAAGCGAAGACCTGGACAATATCTTTGTTACTAGACTGGGCATTAGTTCCTTAATAAGAGGTAGGCTTGTTGAAGTGTATTTCCCATCTAAAACTTTAGTTTTTGTTCATGTAGATTAAAAGGGATTTAATAGCTTTAAATATAGTGCTTAATAATTTTCAGCATAGCTAATGTTCTTTGAAATATTCTACACAAAATTTTCTAATATAACTCAGTCTGTTTTTATAAGTAAAACATTCTACATTGGGGTAAAATGACATTTTAAATTGAAAGAGCAGTGGGATGAATTGATGACTCATGAACAAAACCATTATTTTATTGTTGAAAATATACAAATATGTTTCTTGTCTCCTACCTGGATGAATGATGTAATCTTGATTTTTTCCCATAGATTTTATATAACCAACATCCTACTAAACAACATAAGTTCCCTTTTACCTGTATGAGCCGTTTCTCCAGTTAAGTTATAGAGAAGACTTTTTTGGTCACTTAAACTAATGGACATTTGTTTAAATGTTTAAAGCAGGTTTTTTTAATAATATTTATGTGGACTTATTTTGAAAGTCAGTCATGGTAAGAAGTCTAACTTCTTGAATATTAGTAATGAAGATTTTTAAAGTGTTCTGTAATGCTTTGCAGAGGCAATGAGTGCAGCTGATAGCCATGAGGAGGGCAGATTAGTTTACCGATATGGAGGAGAGCCTGTTGGGTCCTTTGTTCAGCCCTGTTTGAGGCCTTTAATGCCAGCTATTGCACATGCCCTGTTTATGGATATCACCCATGATAATGAGTGTCCTATTGTGGTAAGCATCTAATCTGTTTCTTGTATTGACTTATTTTGCTAAATGTTTTGATATTTAGTGGCAATAATATCCACATACTTCAAAATAGTAGCTTAAATTTATGTGTGATTGTGGTACAAAGTTTTTAGAATGTTTGTTTTAAAGCAAATTAATATATCTTATAGAATGTATTCATGTAATTATCCTTTTACTTCACTATGCAATAGGATGTAACTTTGCATTTGAAAGAAAATGAACTTTTTGGTTTTTTATTGTTTTCTAGCATAGGTCAGCATATGATGCTCTCCCGAGTTCCACGATTGTTTCTATGGCATCTTGTGCTAGTGGAAGTACTAAAGGCTATGATGAATTAGTGCCTCATCAGGTTTGTTTATGTGTTGTTTTTAAAATCCACGTGGCCAACAACTTTGAGCATTTTTACTGAAATTTCTCATTGTCATAAAATGTAACATGGCTAAGTTTTAACTTTGTTCAGATTTCAGTGGTTTCTGAAGAACGATTTTATACTAAGTGGAATCCTGAAGCATTGCCATCAAATACAGGTGAAGTCAATTTCCAAAGCGGAATTATTGCAGCCAGGCGTGCTATCAATAAACTTCATCAAGAGCTTGGGGCCAAGGGTTTCATTCAGGCAAGAAACTAAATTTTCTGTTTCTTTCTTAAGGTTCAGTTTCAGAGTACGTCTTTCCAGTTTGAGCGCTAATGCGTTTTCTCTTTCTGTTTGTCAGGTGTATGTGGATCAGGTTGATCAAGATATAGTGGCGGTAACAAGGCACTCACCTAGCATCCATCAGTCTGTTGTGTCTGTGTCGAGAACTGCTTTCAGGAATCCCAAGACGTCATTTTACAGCAAGGAAGTGCCTCATATGTACATCCCTGGTAATGCTATCTAAAAATGTTACTGTGATTATATTAGATTGTTATATTAAATTATACTATTATTTTAAATTGTTGTATATCATATATTATAACACATTGCAAGTGTGGATGTAGTTGAGAAAAAGAATTAGAAATTTTTGGTAACATATTTTTACTACATGGAACAAAATCTGGACAGAAATACTTTCAAATGTTAACATTTTTTGAGTTGTGAAGTAGTTTTGGTTTCATCTTATTCCCTTATTTCCTAATTTGTATAAAATGAACGTGTATTTCTTCTATTCCCTGGAAAATATATATGTATATTCATGTGTTTATGTATATGTATATACCTGTACATTTGTGTGTGTTTGTGTATGTGTATGCACATATGTACACACATGTATAAACCAAAATGGAAAATAATTTAATATTTAAGACTCTTCATAATCCATCCTCATCTACCTTCCTAGTCCTCTATCACTCCACTATTTCAGCCAAATAGATATTTTCACTGATCTCCAAGTAGTCTTATTTCCACCTATATATGAATTCTTTATGTCTTTCAAGGACTAAAGTTCCACTTCCTTCCAGAACTTCTCTAAGTAATCAGTGATCTCTATAGCAATTATAGTCTCTCTATATCACTCCTTTAGCCATTAATTATAAAATACATCCCTGAGGTATATCTTTATCATTGCTTGATTTTTTTCTAGATGTGTGTATTTTATTTCCTCACTTATTATTATATATGATATATCATAGCATAACATGACATGCTCCTGTGTATATAGCAGCTGTCCAAGTCTTTGATTAATTGAGTAAATGAAGAGTCCCATAAAAATCATCATATTCTATTTTGGTTGCTAGTTGCTAAATATGCATAACTCTACTTTTTAAAAATTATCAACATGAATAGCTTTAGGGTTAAATGTTCGTTAGTTTTTTAACTGTTCACAAATTTATATTCAGTAATCTTATTTGATTGTTGCTAATGTACATGTATAGTTTTGCGTGGCTGCAGTCAGTTGCACGGTATTATCTCAGGTTTTGTTTTGATCACTGATCATTCTTAAAACATTTCCATTTTGTGAGTCAACAAAATTGTGATTTTCATTATCTTCAATGTTTCATATTTTATGTTAGTATTCCATTTTTAATATTCTTTAGAATGTTTAGTAGTGTTCTTATTTAAGATTTGAATATATGCTAGGAATAATTTTTTTTCTTCTGAACAATTTCCTTAGTGTATATTTCCAGAAGTAGAATTTCTAGATCAAAAAGTCCTGTATTATCAGATTAATGGCTTAAAGCTTAAATTATTTAAATAATAAAAGTTGAAGTTTAATATATTCTTTGACCCAGCAGTGCCACTCCCAGGAATATATCTGAAAAATCCTCATGCATTTCCATTAGGGACATGCACAAGAATATTTATTGTAACATGATTTATAACAGAGAAAAATTAGTGATAATCTTAATAGAATGAATGCATTTTGGTGTATTCACACAGTGGAGTACTATGTGGCATTTGAAATAAATGAGCTAAAGCTAATGTAGCAATGTGAACAAATCTAAAAAACACAGTGTTGTCCAATGAAAAACAAGTTACTGAAATGTATACATAGATATTTATATATATAACTTGAATCTACTTTAATAAAACTTGGAAAATAATACAAGTTGTTCAGGGAAACATTCATATTTAGTAAAAATGCACAAGATCAATGAACACCAAACTGCAGGTAGTGATTACCTCTGAAGGGGAAGAAAGGGTACACGGGGTTCAGTTGGATTTGCAATGTTTTCTCAAGCTAAGTAGTAGGATCTGGGTGTTTTAAGTTTTTTCCTACTTTTTGTATTTCTGAAATATTCCATTTTTTAAAAATGTAAGCCTTTCAAGTGATTTACTTTCTCTCTGCTCAAAATTAAGCAGGTTGTATATTGTTCCCCAGAGCTAAGTTATTATTTGATAAGATCTCTTTTCAAATAAAGGTTTGTTAATTAAGTTGTGATTTTTTATTAAAAAAAAGAATTGTGTGAAAAGTGCATCTTGGGTAGAATCATCTACTTTCAGATTGTTTTGTATATTTTTAATTAACTGATAGTTCATGTTCAACTTTAAATTAGATGATTTAAAATGCTTTTAGCAATTCCTAATTCCAGGTGGTTTAATATGAAATTTTGTTAAAAATTTTTTTGTATTTCCAGGCAAAATTGAAGAAGTAGTTCTTGAAGCTAGAACTATTGAGAGACATACAATACCTTATAAGAAGGATGAAAACTCAATCAATGGAATGCCAGATATCACAGTAGAAATTAGAGAACATATTCAGGTATTTGAGACTCTTGTTTTACTACTGTGTTTAACATTTTAAGGACATTAGAATTATTTGTTGAATGGTTTTCTGTAATTGTTTTTAAGCTTAATGAAAGTAAAATTGTTAAACATGCTGGAATTGTCACAAAAGGACCCAATGAATTTGTTCAAGAAATAGAGTTTGAAAACTTGACTCCAGGAAGTGTTATTATATTCAGGTATGTTAGAGTTCAAACTGTTCACTTTGCTTATATATAAAATAGTTTATATATAGCGTTAATTTTGAATAAATTATTCCTAAAAATTAACCATTTTTTAATTAATGTTTTCAGAGTTAGTCTTGATCCACATGCACAAGTTGCTGTTGGAATTCTTCGAAATCATCTGACACAATTCAGTCCTCACTTTAAATCTGGGAGCCTTGCTGTTGACAACGCAGATCCTATATTGAAAATTCCTTTTGCTTCGTAAGTATGCCTTATTTTATGGAGGTTTGCCACTTTAATAACTGATAAATTACCACAAGCCTGATGTAATCAGTTTTAAGGGTCTTCCATATTCTTGCTACTCAAAGGGTAGTCCCAGGACCAGCAGTGTCAGCATCAGCTATTGTTAACATTTTGCCCTATTACTTTATCATTTGTATGTGTGCGTGCATGCACGCTGTCTCACACTCATGCACTCTTTATATATAGTTATAGATATGTACATGCAGACGTACACACTCACACATATACATACTTCTCTATCTATACATACACACAAATTTTTCTGGACTAGTTGAGACTAAGTTGTATACATCATACTCCTTACCACATCATTTTTTTTAATGCCAAAGTATTATTCTAATATGTTGCTATACTATAATTTATTTGATCAGTCTCCATTTTTTGGATGTCAAGATTGCTTCCAATTATTCCCCATTAGGTATGTCTTTCTACATTCATCTTTGCATAAATCCTTAGTTATTCCCTTACTAATCATTCCCTTACTAGGTCATACCACATAGTACCAAAGAGTATAGGTTTTGAAGTGTAGGGCTGGTTTAACTTCAGCTTCACCACTGTTAGTATGATCTTGGACAAGTTATTGAGACTTTCTTCATTTCAGTTTCCTCATCTGGAAAGTGGGGCTTATAATAATGCCTATGTCTTAGATTTTGTAAGGATTAAATAGGATAATGCATATAAAGCACTTAACACAATGACAGCACATAATAAGTGCCCAATCTATGTTTGCTGTCATGAGGGCTAGGATAAATTTCCAGAAATGGAATTTCTCGGTTAGACTATATTCATATGTTTCAGGCTTTTAATACTATCAAATCTCCTCCAGAAAGATTATATTAATTAATATTTTCGGTTCTATGTAAGAGTCCATTATCCCATATCCCTACCAATACTGAGTATGTATTATTTAATATGATGTTTAAGAGCATAGAATATAATCAGATTATGCTACCTGACTAACTGGGTTTGAATCCAATTTCAGACTGTATTAGCCCTAAGTAAGACCTTGGGCAAGTTACCTAATATAATTATAGTGCCTCTCTTACAGAGTTATGAGAAATACTTATGTAAAACACATAGAACAGTGTTTGACACGTAGTAAGTGATCAATAAGTGTTAACTATTACCAATCAAGTTGGTAAATAGAAAATACTTTAAAATTACATCCCATTTTAATTTATTTTAAAAATTAAGCTAATTTTTTTGATCAGCATTTGTATTTATTCAGTGAAGTATTTTACATATTAGCTCATTTTTCTGTTGTGTTCGGTTTTGTTGTTTTATTGGCACTTTATCATTAAGGATATTAACTCTTAATTCAAACTACACTTAGTAAAGTAGTTGCAGTCTAAAAAATCTGTGACAAAGCAGTTTTGTGTTTCTACGGAAGGTTTATAAAATGCACACTCCTCCTCAGACCTATTCACGTTATCTTGGGGCAAGGCCAAGAAATCCGTTTTAATAAGCTCTCCAGGTAATTCCTATGCAAGAAGTTCACAGGCTACATGCTGAAGAATATTGCCCTCGAATGGAGTTGGTACTGAGGCTGCTAATAGATTTGACTCAGACTTGACTCACATACTGCAGAGGGAGGGTCAGCCCCAGCAGTGAGGGCGGAGGCTAGCAGAGACAGAGGGAACAAAACAGCTGACAGCGATTTTCTAAGTTGAGACAGAACTAAAAGAAAAAGAAGGAAGTACATTCAAAAGGATATGTGTTCACATAGTATTCAAGAGGAAATGTATTCAGTTATGTAAAATGAAATTACCTGAGCAGCTGGAAGTGCGAGGAAGTAGGGTTTCAGTTGTATTCAGGCGTGGTCGATTATACAGTCTGACTGCTAACTGAACAAAGGAAAGTCAAAGCCATGATAGTTAAAGACTTCCTTCTGACCATTAGCAAGAAGCATCTTTATCAAAGACGATTCTGGCCCCTTGAATAACCAAGCTGAAGGGCAACGCAACTTTAGGAGAGGAGAGAAGGGAAAAGGAGAGAAATACAAAAGCAGAGTACTACGTGATTTCTAAAGTGGTTAACTGTGACTTTTGATTATCCCTTTACTGGTCCTTTGATAAGTATTTTGAGTTTAAGATAATTCGCAGAAAAAGTTCTTGATGTCCCACAAAGGAGAATATAAAGGAGGAAGAAAACTAAGTCTGAACTAGAAAGATTGAAAACACAAATTGATAAGATAAAGAATATAGCACCAAAAGATTTTTCCAGCATACTTCTAATTAACAAAATTTGGCACTTGATTGTTTCCTTGGCTTGGAAGAAATGTTACTTCTAATTGAATTTTTAACATGTTTTATCCTTAAATTATTATTTATAATATATATTGTTTCTGATGTATGTTATAATGCTGAGTTCCTAAAATGTACATTACTGAGACATTTTATGGTTATCCTTCAGATTTTCTTTTTTATTTTTATGGAGTGCAAGTGAAATTTCAATATATTTAACCAGTTCTCTTTATTTTCTAATTCTTAGTATTGCCTCTAAATTAACTTTGGCTGAGCTAAATCAGGTCCTTTATCGATGTGAATCAGAAGAACAAGAAGATGGTGGAGGGTGTTATAACATACCAAACTGGTCGTCTCTTAAATATGCAGGTCTTCAAGGTAAGCAAGTATAAGGATAGTTAAGCTTTTGCGGGGCAGGGGTTGCATGGGGTTAGATGATGTCTTCCTTACAGAAATAAGAGTACTATTCAGAGTTCGACTTCTGGGATTCAAATTATGGCTCTGCCGCTTACTCGTTGATTGATCTCTGGCAAGTAACTGAACCTCTCTGTGCCCCAATTTCTACCTCTATAAAATGTGAATACTATTGCCTAATTCATAGGCTTTTCTGAGGATTAAATGAGATAATTTATTTGGGCCCCAAATGAGACTAGGTGTAAATATAGTACTTTCATCTAAATGGAAATATTTTTTGCTGCATATTTGTTTAATCCTACAAGGAGAACTTATAGTAAAATATTATGTAGTTAGAGTAGTTGTAAGATGGGATACAGGAACTAAATATTTAACTATCAATTTAATCCATCTTGTTTGTAATATTTTCTTAGATTTTTATTCAGGAAATTTGGTTTATCATCTGTATTCCTGGTCCATGTAGTTTCCCACTTAGCATGCCAACTTTTCAACTCCCTGTTATTTCTTTGTCCATCTAACTCATCTTTAAGGGCCAATTCAATTCTTACATCTTCCACAAAGACTTCCTTAACTATTGCTTTTCACAGCAATTTCTTTGTACTCTGGACATGCACTCTATTTATCTACTATACCTCTTACTTGACCCTTAAAATATGTTGCCTTATTTTAGTAATTAGTGTAATGTATTTTGTGAATCTTTGTTATTGTGGTAAGAGTTAGGCTTTAGAATCAGACTCCCCAGGTTATACTGACTAGCTGTATAACTTTGGAGTAGTTAAACTCTCCATTGCCCAGTTTCCTCATCTGTAAATGGAGATAGTAATAGTACCTAGCACAAGAACTTACTGTTAGATTTAAATGAGTTAAGACACCTAAAGCATTTACATAACGCTTAATTCGTAGTAATTACTTGGTAACTGTTAGCTTTAAAACTCCGTTAAGTAGATTGTACTTCAAGAAAGAATGTTTGCCCTTTTTGAGGTTCTTATTTCTTAGCTTTTATACCTTCCAAGCACATAAGAAGCTATTAGTAACTTTTTTTGTGACATTTTGTACTAGTGACATTTTATTTTTTTCTAAAACATTCTCCTTTTCAACATAAAGTGTTTTTGCTGTAATAAAGAAATATTTATGCTACTAGTCTTAAGCAGATCTCTACTCCATTTTCACTGTGAGCCATTGAACTTCTGCTTGACTGAGAAGACCACACTTCTGTGAACTTCTTTTCTGGCCTTTGTCTTTCTTAAAATTGAGTCTAATTCTTTACTAATTGTCTTTACTTTCTCATAAAATGATTTTACTCATCCTGTCTAAATATAATTACCCTTCCCTGATTTATTTTTTACTGTATACTAATCTCTTTTCTCTCTAACAGTTTAATATTTCCAGCAGGCTATTAACAGCACCCTAAGATTAAATCAAACTTAACCACTTCATTGGCCTTTCTCTCCCCTAAACAAAATTCCCCTTCCTACTTCCCTGTGTCTTACAATACTACATATTCAGTCATGTTGGAATCCAGGAATCCATTTTTGGATCTGCTCCTTTCATTCTCAATATTCCATCAGAAATTATGATGTAGATTTTTTTGTCTGTTCTTTGGCATACCATATCCTTTCTATTTCCACAGTTATCACTCTATTCTAGGACTAAGTCTTGTCTACAAAGCCAACTAACTAGGGGGCCGGCCCCGTGGCCAAGTGGTTAAGTTCATGCGCTACACTTCGGCAGCCCAGGGATTCACTGGTTTGGATCCTGGGCATGGACATGGTACCACTCATCAGGCCACGCTGAGGTGGCGTCCCACATGCCACAACTAGAAGGACCCACAACTAAAATATACATCTATGTACTGGGGGGATTTGGAGAGAAAAAGCAGAAAAAAAAAAAAACAACTAACTAGTTTTCCAACCTCTTGTTACCTCTTCCACAAATCATTCTATCCCACTGAGTCATCATCAGATCTGTTTTCTTAAAACACAGCTCCATCGTGTCATTCCAGTTTTCAACAAGTGGATCTGATTATTTACTTTGCAATATTTACCTTTCCTGAAAGTGCTAGAGCATCTGTAGAACGTTATTTTATACGGCGTTATACTGTCTTGTTTTCTAATTTTTTTATGTTTTAAGCTTTGTTTCCCAAAGAAGATTTGTAAGCCCCTTGAGGAAGAGAACTATATCTTAAATTTATGTATTTATTTTTTAATTTCTCGACATGCTATATATATAACAAAATTAATTAAATTCTAACTAACTAAATACAGTCATGCGCCATATAATGATGTTTCAGTCAACAATGGACCACATGTATGATAGTGGTCCTATAAGATTAGTACCGTACAGCCTAGATGTGTAGTAGGCTATCATCAGGTTTGTGTAAGTGCACTCGATGTTTGCATATTGATGAAATCGCCTAATGCCACATTTCTCAGAACATATCCCCGTCATTAAGCTAAGTGAAGACAGTGAAGCCAATATAATTTTTTTAAGATGGAAATTATTACTTTATTGAGTAATGAAAGAAGTACTATTGTTCTGTCATTGAAATAACAGAATCTGCTATATATGCATAGGAATCTAATGCTTCTATTTGAGTATTACTTGAGAATATTCCTGCATACCTCACTTTGATACTTTAATTCCAAGTACCTCCTGTTATATTTCAAAGATTCTTTCCAAAGCTGGCTTTATTCTTAACACCATATATGCTCTTGCTCTCTCTGAAAATGGTTCTGTGATTTCCTTAAATCTTGCCTAAACATTAATGAATCTACAACTTTTCAATATGAAAAGACACAAACTTATCAATTTTCTTCCCCCAGATGCCTTAGGCAGGGAAACCATGCAGTTGCCTTTAGATATTATAACATTAAAATCGAAAAGAACAAGACCAGTCTCAGAAGATAGGAACCTTGGAATTAAGCCCCTGTGACAGTAGCCCCCTTCAGTGTGCCTGTGTAGCTTGGTTCAAGCCAGTGTTTCCACTGTTATCTCCAGCCCTGGAAAGTGCACTGTGGACTACGCAGCCCTTGTGTCTACCTCAATATGTGTTCACTCCAAATCATGAGAGACTAGCAGCAGCCCAGGCTATGGGAACGTATTACCTCTGCCAATAATATAGCATGATATTTCTCTGAATTTTCAGGATTAATGTCCATATTGGCAGAAATAAGACCAAGGAATGACTTGGGGCATCCCTTTTGTGACAATTTGAGATCTGGAGATTGGATGATTGACTATGTCAGTAGCCGGCTTATTTCACGATCAGGAACTATTGCTGAAGTAAGTAAAGCTATATTCTAGTCCAAAAAAACAAGGGCACAGTAAGAACTATATTACTATGCTATATAAAATATTTATATTGTTTTCTAACCTGAAACATTGTCCTGCATTCTTTATCATCCTTCATTTCTAATAAATGGAAATACAGTTGATAGATTACTAGATAGTAGGGTTGCATGTTTGGATTTACCTCTTAAAATACACCTTGCCTGTAAACAAACCAAATTAACTTTTTTAAATTATTTTTTACAACAGGTTGGTAAATGGTTGCAGGCTATGTTCCTCTACCTGAAGCAGATCCCCCGTTATCTTATTCCATGTTACTTTGATGCTATATTAATTGGTGCATACACCACTCTCCTGGATATAGCATGGAAGCAGATGTCAAGGTATGCCCAACAAAGCTTGAGTAAATAGGCATGTCTTTGTAGAAACCATATCAGAGTCAGTTTATTCATACTCTTAAAAGCATTTTATTGAGGAACTGTCAAAGACTCATAGAACTGAAAATTTGTGTAAGTGGATAGTAAATTTATTAGCATCGTTTAATCTGGAGCATACAAAAATAAACTCAGGTATTAAAATCTGTTCTATAAAGCTATAGAAATATGTTTATGGGAAAATTTAGTTGTTTTATGTTGTTTCTATTTGTTCATTGACTTAAGTAATGGGTACAATTTTTAGAATATACATACACAGTTCTTTTTCTAATTGTGCATTAATTAAAAGAAAAAATATTCTGCTATTATTACGAATGAAATTTGCCTTTAATGATGAATTTCCCTGAAATGAAAACACAGATCATGATGTGCTAGTGAAGAGCCACCAAATCGATTTGAGGATGATTTCAGAAAGAACTAAACTTCAGTCCTACCATTTGTTTCACAACAGGACTTAGACTTAAAGCTAGTTAGAATATTGGGTGAAATGAAAGCAGTTCTGAAATCTAACCAAACTGAAAATTTCTTTCACGTGATATTACCATTGTTACACATTTGTGTAGAAAGATTATTTGAAGGAAAGGAACCAAGTAAAATAATACTGCTAAAAACTTTTGAATCAATGGGTATAAAATTTCAGTTATGCAACATGAATAAGTTTTACATATATGCTGTACAGCATTGTGCCTATAAATAAAATAACAATATTGTATTATACACTTAAAAATCTAAGAGGGTAGATCTCAAGTGTTCTTACCACAATAACATTTTTTAAAAATAAATAAAAATTTTTGCATTTGTACAAACAATATTTTAAGCTCCATCCCTTTGTTCCAGCTTTGTTCAGAATGGTTCTACCTTTGTGAAACACCTTTCTCTGGGTTCAGTCCAAATGTGTGGAGTAGGAAAATTCCCTTCTCTGCCACTTCTTTCACCTTCCCTTACGGATCTACCATATAGAGTAAATGAGATCACAAAAGAAAAGGAGCAGTGTTGTGGGTCTCTAGCTGCAGGTAAGAAATTACATACAAGGTTAAGATGTGTAAATCAATATTATTCCAAGGGGAAAAGTTATGGGGAAACAATTACTTAAAAAAAATCTCATGATGTTATTCAAGATTTTATGTTACTGCTTAGTAAAATTTCATAGATATTCACTTGTAAAAAGAGTAACCATGCTTACTATTTAATTATGACTGTGCAACAGGCATTTATGTGCATTTTTTATTGTGGCTGGTTAATTTTTTTCTTCAGCATGTTTTTATTTTTTCCCACTATTGACAGTTTGTATTTTCTTACCAGATTTGTTTTACTACCCTTTTTCAATTATGTTATACTTCTTTCCCAATTTTTAAAACTTAACCCAACCTTGTTATTGCCAAGATATCATGTATAGGTCCTCTACAAGTTACAAAAAGAAAACAAACGTTAAGTGATTTTTTTTATTGTGTCTAATTGCAGTCAAATGTTTTCAGCTATATTTGTTGGCATCCTTTCCTGGAAGTAGTAATAAAACCTGAAACAAGTGACATCTAAGTAAGCAAAATAGGCAAAGGACAGCCTTTTGTTTTCTCTTTAATATATTTCAAGCTATTTCTAGAAAGTACTTAACATTTGAGGCCACTGAAGTACAGAACTTTCCAAACTAAACTGAAAAATACCAAATTGTAAGATGAAAGTAATAGTATTGTAAATATGATTTCCTCTTTTTACCCTTAAATTTGCCTCTGCTTAGACCAAGAAAAATGACTTGGTGAGACCCAACAACTAAAAAAGAAATTAACTTTTTATTTAGAGTGATCATGTGAACCCTCTGAATGTCTTAATTATATAATTGTGTTTTAGATTTTCACTCAAATTTTTTTATTTAATTTGATTTGATCTATTTGATTTCCTTCTGGTCCTTATCTTTCCCCTGTGAATTCATGCAGATGCTCATAAAACTGAACTGGGCCATCATGGCAAAAAAAATTTGATATGCAGAATTTGGTTTTAAAGCCTACTGTTTAAAAGCCTTGTACATAAAATAGTGATCTTAACATGTTTGATCATGCACTGCTGTTGTTAAGCACTCCCAAAATAAATATACTGATATCATAAATGATATGCTTATGTAAGTTATGATCCCTGATATACTTATATATCAGGTACACGATAAAACAAAACTAGAAACTAAACAGGTAAGTTGATAAATATAAATAGAAGTTCTGATACTTACATCTAGCATCCCAAGGGATTGTTTTATATACTCCATACTAACAAAATATACTCAGACTTGCAGATATGTTTTTCGGGTTCATTTTAAAATGAATAATACCAAGGCCAAGTATACCTTCCTTTGGTGACAGTAGTGAAAAAAAATTATAATTGTAGACTTTTATAATAATGATAAAGTAGGAATCACTCAGAAGATATGTAATCTATAAGTCATATAGTCTTAGAGGTCAAAAAGTTATACAAACATTTGCACATATGAGTGCTAGAGATTTTATGGTTTTGACCATTTAACAAAGATATACTACCTGTGTTTTAAGACATACCAACTTAAACTCACCTTTGAATCTATCTATACTTATATTTCATACAGGGTGTTAAATGAATTAAAGTACCAGGAAGTCTGTGTGGCACAGAGTGCTATATATATGTTAGCTGTTGTCATCATCATCGTCGTCATCAAAATTATCATCATCAACCATATATAAGCCATATATATCAACCATGTATAAATAATACACAAACCATTTACGGAAATTTTGTACCATTATTTTGGAGGCAATATAAAGAGAAATGTCTAATGTTACCTTTAGTTCTGATCTTTCTTAACAGAAGAAAATAATTTCTGATCTCCAGGAAGGTGAAGACCCAGTAAGCAGAAACTTCAATTGTGAAGTACACTTAGAAATTACCAAACTTTTCTTTTATCTTAGTCAAATTCTTTCACCTCTAGATTTACCTTTTATAATTAGTCTCTTATTTTATTCATTCAGTAAATTTTTATAATGTACCAGTTACAATTTTCAATGATAGATATACTTTGGTAAACAAGGAAGATGAGGTTTCTGTTATCGTGGATCTGATTTTCTACTGGAAAGGACAATCATTCATTCAACAAACCAGGAAACAAACAAAACAAGATAATGTCAGATAGTGTTAAGTGCTTGGAAGTTAGTTATGAATGAATGCTGTGTACATTTTATTTGTGTCCTCAAGTTTCCCTTCCTGAAAAATTTGTTATATTTATGCTTTAGCATAGTTCTTTTTTTGAGTGAAATGCCATTTGCCTTTGTTTTACTTTCCTACTACTTTTTTGTTTTTATTACAAATACAGATAACAGTTGTATTTCTTTACACATTTGACAAGAAACCAAACTCAATCTAAAAGTAAAATTTTAGATTTTATCCATCAGCCGTCCTATTTTATCTCATGCATAAAGGCTACAAGTACCTAGAATGTTCAAGTTATTTGACAGCTGAAATCCTTGTTTTCATCTGTAAAAACTGTTTCTGGATAACAAAGTGTAACACTTTTAAGTTGTTTTGAATTAATGGGAAATTTAGTAATAAAGTTTAACTCGAGTAATAGATTAATATTTAATTGTATATTAAGGTAATAATTTCATTTAGATTAATTTGTTGCCTATAAATTGCAGGTAGGATCTTTTCAAATATATCATTAACATTATATTAAGTGTTTATGTGTTAAATATTTGATCTCTGATTTTAATCTTTAGTTTTATTGTCTGTGTTTAAAGACTCACACATTTGAGTCGATTCAGATAGGCACCCGTCTCCAGCCCTGGTTCTTTTTTTTTTTTTTTTTTAAGATTTTATTTTTTCCTTTTTCTCCCCAAGTCCCCCGGTACATAGTTGTATATATTCCTCATTGTGGGTCCTTCTAGTTGTGGCATGTGGGACACTGCCTCAGTGTGGTTTGATGAGCAGTGCCATGTCCGCGCCCAGGATTCGAACCAACAAAACACTGGGCCACCTGCAGCGGAGCGAGCGAACTTAACCACTCGGCCACGGGGCCAGTCCCTCCGGCCCTGGTTCTTAATCTCTCTTGAGTCACAGATTCCTGGAAGAATCTGATAAGAATCTGGAATCTCATTGCACAAAAGTAGTCATGAGTATAGACGAGCATTTTGCCGATAATTTTAGAGGATTTACAGACTCCCTCTAGCTCAGGCCTGTGGTCCCCCAGGTTTAGACCAACTGATCCATAGTAATAGTGTCCAAAGGCTGGCGTATGTTATTAAGATTAACACATTACTTTGTTGTGCTTCCTGTTAGGCTTACCTCATTTTTCTGCTGGCATTTTCCGCTGCTGGGGAAGGGATACCTTCATTGCGCTCAGAGGTCTGCTGCTGGTTACGGGACGCTATTTGGAGGCCAGGTAGGAGATCTCTAAAACATTGCAGTGCAAGTTTATGCCTGCATGTTCTTCACGTGCTCTTCAAAGTTTCCTTCAAATCCATCTATTCTCAACATTTGGGAGGCATGTTTTCCTTAAGTGTTTTTTTATTTTATTTTTTGCATGTTTTTTGCATTTAATAGGATCATAGAATTTCAAAGGAGTGAAAATCTTTGCAGTTACTAAATTCTAGTCTCTCATGTTACAGGTCAGGATATCTTCAGCGTTTGCTCATTTATGTCAGTAAAAGTAAAAACTGTCTAACTGTGTTACTAACATCACTCACTAAAGAGTAAAATTTCTATGCCTGAATTAAGTAACATATGAGAACTCAGATAAACTTTTAGGTAAAATTTGAAAGTCTATCATTTTTGTCCGTTTATAATGAAAACATTGCTGGCTCTCTGACTGAGTTCTGTAGGAAGAATTATAATAACAGGTTTTCCTCTATTTGTTGTCAGGCCATGTAACCTCCAGTTTTATGTTTTCTAGACTTAAAATGGTGTTTTCTTTTTTTTTTTTTTGAAAGATTGGCACCTGAGCTAACATATGTTGCCAATCTTCTTCTTTTTTTCTTTTTCTTCTTCTCTCCAAAATCCCTCAGTACATGGTTGTATATTCTAGTTGTGAGTGCCTCTGGTTGAGCTATGTGGGACACCACCTCAGCATGGCCTGATGAGCGGTGCCATGTCTGCTTCCTGGATCTGAACCAGCGAAACCCCGAGCCACCGAAGCGGAGTGTGCGAACTTGAACACTTGGCCACAGAGCTGGCCCCCGAAATGGTGTTTTCTTATGTCACAATAATACTAATGAATTTATCAGAGGTAGAACAGAAAAGCTCCACAGCAGTGCCACTCAAAGTGTGTTCCACAAATCAGCAGTGTCACCATCATCTGAGAGCATGTTAGAAATGCGAATTCTTGGTCCCTAGGCCGGACCTCCTGAATCCAAAGCTGGGGGTAGAGAGGGCAGAGTTGACAGGTGGAAATCTATGTTTTCGCGGGGGCTCCAGGAGATTTTCAGCAGCCTAAGGCTAAAGTTTTACAGCACTGCTCTACGAGTTTTTTTTAGCAAAAACAGCATGTATATGATACCTCGTTTTGATGTCATCAGAAAAATAACTGAAGTTGGCCTTTTCAAATGACAAAAGTTTTATTTTTGGTCCTTTTAAAATTGAAAATTTTTAAGTGGGCATCTGAAATGTATTATATTTTTCCTTGCTAACCTCATAAGACCTTTTCTTATTGACTTAAGATACCATTTTGGGGCTGTAGAAATTTGAGAGGCTGTTTGCTTCTTCCCCAAATGCCCCAAAATGACTGTGACTAAGAAGCAGGAAATGGAACATCAGGATTCAGTGTAGTGTAGTGGTTAAGAACTTGGGTTTGAGCCAGACTGCCAGGTTCTAATCCTGGTTCCAAACTACCCACTGACAAGTTGTCTATCCTCTTTGCACTCTCTGTAAAATGCTTATAGTACTTATCTGACAGGGTTTTCGTGAAGATTAAAAGAGCTAATGTAGTTGAAGTGTCCAGAACAGTGTCTGCTACATGCTAAGCATTACATAAATATTAGTTTTTTAATCATTATTATTATTTTCATTGTTATCTGGGCTCCCACTTATCACTTCTATGTAGTGCCAAAAATTTCTGCTTCTTAATTTTATGTGACTGTCTAGTTCAAGGGTCAGCAAACTATGGCCTGTCACCTGTTTTGTATGACCTGTGAGCAAAGAATGGTTTCTAACTTTTTAAACAGTCATTAAAAACAGAAGAAGGTGGCCGGCCCAGTGGCATAGTGGTTAAGTTCACATACTCCACTTTGGCGGCCTGGGGTTTGCAGGTTTGGATCCCAAGCATGGACCTACACACTGCTTGTCAAGCCATGCTGTGGCAGCATCCCACATACGAAATAGAGGATGGTTGGCACAGATGTTAGCTCAGGGACAATCTTCCTCAAGCAAAAAGAGGAAGATTGACAATGAATGTTAGCTCAAGGGCCAATCTTCCTTACAAAAAAACACAGACGAAGAAGAACGCATGACTGAGACCATATATGGCCAAGAAAGCCTAAAATATTTACTGTCTGACCCTTTACAGAAAAGTTTGCCACTCCTGATCTAGATGATTCTCAGAAGATAATGTATCTGTTAGGGCTGTGCCAGCTGCTGTAAATTATAAACTCTTAAATTTCAATCACTTTTCACAAATGAAATTTATTTCTTGCTTCTAATCTAATATAGGTGTTCAGGAGGCAGCTTTCCACGTAGTAATTAAGGGATACAGGCTCCTTCAATCTTGAGAATCTACCATCTTCCAGGGCCTCCGAGTCCTCTGCTGTCAGCTGGCAGAGAGGGAAGGAGTCTGGGGAAAATAAACCTGTTCCGTGCAGATAACCTACGTCAGTTCCATCACGTTCTTTTGCCTTAGAATGCAGTCATCTGGCCATGACTACATGTAGGAAAGCCCTCTTGGTGGACACATGGCTCTCTCTACCACAGACACTTCTATTTCCTCCCGCTGTAGAGGCGTTCGTGCACAGAGGTCTTCTTATTCAACTTCCAAGTATATGACATTCTTCTGGATGGTTATGATTGGAAGTGCCACTGTCCACTTAACACTTTTGTACTGCAGAAGATAGAAAGTTTCCTATTGCACGATTATTTAAGAGATGGGCATTAAACTGAGATACAGAATCAATCAAATTTCTAAGTGGTTTAGCCAAAAAGCACTGAGGCCTAGACATTTTAAATGACTTTTCCAAAGTCATATAGATGGCAACACTAGGATTTAAACCTCAGTCTTATTTCTTAGTTTCACGCTCTCTAGAATGCCGTGCCATCTTAAAAAGTTGTCATTTGGTATATGAAAGTAGAATAACAATTTAAAAGATAAAGTATCCTCTACCACTTTTTGATGAATCATGTTTTTCAAGGTAAGCTTTTACCCGTTTATTTTTTTCTATATTTGCTTTGCTCTTGGTATCTACTATTTAAAATAATGAAGTTCACATTCTTACTTATTTAGATTTTGAAATAGCAAGGATTTCAGAAGTAGAATCTAAAACTGTGAGGGGCCTTAAAAATTAGCCAGTCCAATCCCTAACTCCACAGATGAAAAGACTATCCCAGAGAGGGTAAGTTATACAGATTGTTAGAGAAAAAGCCGGGGCTGGGATCAGGGTTTCTGACTTTTAATTCAGTGTTTGTTCTATCATATTATGACTACTTTGTACATGAAAATACAAAGAAATAAGGGCAAGAGTGAAAATGCATCCAAAGTAATAGTCATAAAAAGTGACTTCAGTTGGTTTGAGTGATTGTTTTCATGTCAAATGATCCACCTAATTCTGTTGTTTTAGGAATATTATTTTAGCATTTGCTGGCACCCTGAGACACGGTCTCATTCCTAATCTCCTGGGTGAAGGAACTCACGCCAGATACAATTGCCGGGATGCTGTGTGGTGGTGGCTACAGTGTATTCAGGATTACTGTAAAATTGTTCCAAATGGCCTGGACATCCTCAGGTGCCCGGTTTCCAGAATGTATCCTACAGATGATTCTGTTCCTTTGTCTGCTGGCACAGTGGTAAAAATCATTTTTTAAAATAATTTTTTTCCTGACAAATGACTTAGCTTCTAATATGAAAATACGTGTAATTTAGAATCCGAATCTTAAGAATTCTTCAAATATTGGTACATGCTTAGCCCTTGCCATACCATGAGAGACTGCAGACATAAGCCTTGCTCCTTGCTTAAAGAGCTTGCAACACGGTGAAGAGATGATGTGTATATAACATGGTCACTGCAGAAAGAGGTGTGGGAAATGCTGTGTAGTCTCATAAAAGGGACAGAGATGATCTAGTAGATGGGTCTCAGGGAAGACTTCAGAAAGCAGCTAATTTCACCTAAACTGAACCTTAAAAAAGTGAGTAGAATTTCAGCAGAGATGAGAAAAGTTGTGGGAAGACATCAAAGATGAAAGAAATAATAAAACGCAGGGTGAGTGGAAGCATAGTTAGGACATGCTGCTCGGTCTAGTTGGGCTTCTTGTGTAGGGCACGTGCAGGGTAGTAAGAGATTGTGGGAGAGGGAACTGCGTTGTGGAGAGCCTTGACTACCAGTCCGGGGAGTTCAGAGTTTATCTTATGACCAGTGCAGAATAAATAACGTTTTTGAGTGGTTTCTTCCCAGTCAATAATATATAGTAACTCTGTGCTTTTGCCACTTCTGATCTGCCTTTATGTTATCGTTTGTTTGGTGTATTTCTGTGGGACACTTCTAAACTACCTCAGGACAAGCATAGATTTGTGTCCCCATGATGTTTATATCATGAATTATTCAAAGAACATTTGTCAAAAAAAGTTTTTACCTAAAGTACCGCTTTAGTATAGAATTTATCCCCATTACTATGTATGTGGATGAATAGGAACAGTAATGCCAAATTAAAATTCAGATTTCTGTATAATAAGCTAGATTCATTTATTAACTGAACAGTTCACTCTATTACAAACTATTTTAGTTACTCACAAGATTTGTTTTCATGTGTCAGCAAAATTACAAATTATTTCATGTCACAAACATGAATAGTCAAAACTGCAATATATTAAATATTCGTATACCAAAGATCAGCTGCATTATTTGGTGTATAGGGAACTGCTGCTTTCCCCGGTCCCACTCCTGAGCCCCATTTCTCCCTCCAAAGGAAAATATATGTTTTTACAAAACATAAGTTTTGGGATTTGGGGGAAGAAAAGAAAAATATAATTTCTAACAAAGGTAGCGTTCATTATGTCTCAAACAGGATCAACCATTGTTTGAAGTAATACAGGAAGCTATGCAAAGACATGTGCAGGGCATACAGTTCCGAGAAAGGAATGCTGGTCCACAGATAGATCGAAACATGAAGGATGAAGGTACATAGCTTCACGTAGTAAAGATTTACTGATGAGGTGAAATTAAACCTTGTAATTGTTGATTTATTTGACAAATATTTTATTTACGTGTAGAACTTCAGAATATAACCATGAAAAAGATTAACACAGTTTCTGATCTTACCGATTTGGTATTAATTTGTAGAAGAGAGATAAAATTTATATCTTTGTCAGCAATTTGAAAGGTAATTTGGTGGTTGCATTTATAATATAATAATAATTTCTGGTAATTGAGTGCTTACTCTGTGCTAGCCACTGTGCTAACTACTTTATCTGTGTTATTCCCACTTAACGCTCCCGGGTCCATTGGGCATCAATGAGTTATATTGCTCCCATTTTTATTGATAAGATGACTGAAGCAGAGTAGCTTGCCCAGAGTCACACAGCTACCAAGTGACAGAGCTAGGATTTCATCCATGGTCTGTCTCTCTGTGTCTATAACCTAGGCTTTTAGAAAATACTTTTTGTAAAACAGTTGATTTGTGTACAGAGTTAAAACAGAGATGCTTCACATCGTCTTCCCATGCAATGTCTGTGTCCGAATTTCCTCTTCCTGTAAGGACACCAGTCAGGTTGGATTCGGGCCTACTTTCTAATGACCTTATTTTAACATGATTAACTTTGTAAATTCCTATCTCCAAATAAGGTCACATTCAGAGATATTAGGGGTTAGGACTTCAATACTATGAAGTTGGGGGTTTACACAATTCAACCCATAACAAATAGTAACAAGGATAACAGTTGTCAGTTTTGAGAGGGATTCATGTACTACTGATGGCATTGTAAATTGACTCATTCTTTTTGGAAATCAATTTGGATATATATATCCAAATATATTTTATGAGACATAAAATATTCATATTTTTTTTCATGAACGTATTTCGCTTCTTGGAATCCAACCCATGAAATAATCTAAAATACACAAAAAAATAGTATTACATAATGATATTGATCTTAACATTGCTTATAATTGCCTAAAAGAATGAAACAACCATTATGTCTAACAGGAAATGTTTATATTGACTTGAATGAAAAATTTTGTAATTTCTACAGATTATAACTATTAAAGACCATAAAATCTATGGGTGTCTAATCTGATACATGAAAAATAGTTGGATGTGATATTTTTATGAAAATATTACTATTACGTAAAAAGACCAGAAAGGAATATAGAAATGTAATAATTTTGTTAGGGTTATAGGATTATGGATTTTTTCCCCTGGTCTTGTTTTTAAATACTATTGTTTTTAACATAAAAAAATAAGCTTTTTAAGTGATCTATCCCAGATATTTCCAATAACTGACTGACTCAGTGGCAAATTTTGATGTAGACTCAGGAATCTAAATTCCTTCTACATTCCTATTATGTTATATACTATATTATAATATTCTAAATTATATTTTAAATAATAATTAAACCTCTTTTAGTTAATTTATTGTTTGTAGTGATAACAATTTTATACCTAATTGAGCTGGTAAGAATCACTGGTACATTTTTTATCCTTCAAGAGGTAACTAAATAGAAATAGATTTTATATTTAAAGAACATTTTTGTGACATCTCTGAATTATTTTAGTTTTTAATTTTAATTATGAAACATTGCAATATATAGAAAATAATATAAATTATACCTTTGAACCTAGAACTAAAACTAGATACTAACATTTGGCCACATTTTCTTCAGATCTTTCTCTTTTGTTCTGGAAAGAAAGAAACCATTACAGACTTATCTAAAGCTTCATTTCTGTCTCTTTGCTCCCTCTTTAGAATTAATGACTGTCCTATAATCAGGGTTTACAATTTCCATGTATGTTTTTGTACTTTATGTGTTTATGTGTGTTCGAGTATATATAAATTACATATGATATAGGCTATGTAGTATATATTCAGGATATTATATAGTATACATTCAGTATATTATGTTGTATACTATTGTATAATGTGTATATATACACTATATATAACTACTTTATATGCTTTTAAGTTTTAAACAAATATTATGATATTAGACATAGCCATATAGACATGCATGGTTGTACATATTAGTATTGTCTATATTTTAAACTTTTACAGAAAAAGTATCTTATCATGCATATCCTTTTGCAACTTATTTACTCAATCATTTTGTTTTTGGAATTTATCCATTTTCATTCGTGTAAATCCAGTTCATTAATTCTAAATGGTATAGAGTTTTCCATTGTATGAATAAACCACAGTGTTTATCCATTCTCTACTCAGCAGTTATTTATTTTCTTGATAATACAAGCACCGTTGAAATGAATATCTTCATACGTGTCTCCATGTGCACATAGGTAAGGGTTTCTCTAGAGTATCTATTTAGAAATGAAATTACTATGAGGTAGTATATGCACATCTTCAGCCTTTAAGGTATTACCAAATTGCTCTCCAGAGTACTTGTCCTATTTATATTCCTTTTAAATTTATAAATGTTTTATTTTGCTTTTATAGGTTTTAATATAACTGCAGGAGTTGATGAAGAAACGGGATTTGTTTATGGAGGAAATCGCTTCAATTGCGGCACATGGATGGATAAAATGGGAGAAAGTGACAGAGCTAGAAACAGAGGAATCCCGGCCACTCCAAGGTCATGTTTATTTTATGGTGCTTATATAATTGGACCTTTTTTTTTTTGAGGAAGATTAGCTCTGAGTTAACATCTATGCCAGTCTTCCTCCACTTTATATGTGGGTCACCACCACAGCATGGCTGACTAATGGTGTAGGTCGATGCTGGGATCTGAACCTGCAAACCCAGGCCACCAAAGCAGAGCGTGCCAAACTTAACCACTACACCACAGGGCCGGCCCCTGTTTATACCCTTTTTTAAACCACATACTTGTGGAACCTTTTATTATTAACAATAAAGTCTTCATATTAAATCAGTCAAAATCTCCCTTCCTCCTTCCCACTTCCTCTTCCATTTCCCCCTCCCTCTCCCCTAATATACACATACACAATCCTCTTGGTGTAATCATCAAGTAGAGCTCTCTTTTCTCTTCTGTAAGTTCTCCTGGGGTGATTCTCTACAAGCACCTCAATGGAAAGTTTTATGACTCATTATCCCTGTGGTTAAGATATGTTCTTAACCTAAAGTGCTTTCATTGTAAACATTTCATTATGCCCATCTTTTGTAAACATAGAAAACAGTCAGTTATCCTGTCCTTTATGAAATCCTTTCACTTTCTGAAACTTTTCCCCCAAAATTTTTTAATCTTTTATCCCATCGCTTTTTATAATTTCAAATGCTTAATATGGTGTCAAGTCTGAGAAACTATTTTCTTATTCTAAATTTTATCTTCAGTCAGAATTGTCAAAAAAATTATTTAGTATTAGCTGTTGTTACATCCTTTGCAAATTCTTTTTAAAATCTATTTATTTGGGTACATTATTAGATATTGTACTTCCCTTTCATTTTCCTTAAAAATTAGCTTTTAATTAAATTTTTGTGTTCACCTTCCCTGGCTTTCTCCATTCCTATATCTCATGTTTGCTGTCTTTTCTTTGGTATTCTATTTCAATATTCTCTGATTCCTTATTCCTACCTTTTTCCAGTTGCCATCTCCTTTTACTCCATAATCCCCATTCTACTTTATAGAATTTTTAAAAAATATATTAGGAAGGTAAGCAATGGCAAAATGGTAAAAGGAGAGATTTCTTTTATGTGCAATACACATTCCTATAAAGCAAGGGCTTTTTTTTTTAGATAATTGTTTTTGTAATACATTAGTTATATAATTCACCAAAATTGTTTATTGAATACCCTTTAAATAGTGCTTAAATGACTCCAACTCACAGAATAAAATTTAATTTTAGAGATGGGTCTGCTGTGGAAATTGTGGGCCTGAGTAAATCTGCCGTTCGTTGGTTGCTGGAATTATCCCGAAAAAATATTTTCCCTTATCATGAAGTCCGAGTAAAAAGACATGGTAAGCTGTTCATTTTATTTACAAAGAAACTTAGAATGTTCTTTCTTTATTCTTAACCTACGTTATCATCATTTGACTCAATGATCTAAGATTAGAAAACCCTTAAGTTTAAGAAGAAAGAAAAACCATTAATTTACTAGTATGAAAAATATAACAAACCTGGTTACTAACCATATTTTTATAGCAACTTTGAACTGAGATATGAAAAGCATCGTAGTTATTGTCTTTTTGTGCTTTTCTTTTTCCTCAGCATGACTGTGAGTAAGCTGTGTTTTTGTGAACAATTATGAAAGCTTTACATCTCTTTTTCGAGAACTGTGCTGTCCAATAGAAATATAACTTAAGCCATATACATAATTTTAAATTTTCTAGTACCCACATTTTTAAAAAGTAAGAAACAGGTAAAATTAATTATAAGAATATATTTTATTGACTCAATATATGCTAAATATTATTTCAACATGTAATCAATATGAAGTTTTTCATGAACTGTTTTACATTCTTCTTGAGGAGTACTAAGTCTTAGAAATCTTTCATACTTCTGGCACATCTCAATTCAGACTAGCCTCATTTCAAGTGCTCAATAAAGGTAACTTTATCAAACATATACGAGTGATACAAAGACAAATTAGGGATCATTTGCTAGAGTCTAATCCTTTTTTGGTAATATAGTGAAAGATAATTTTAAATTTCAAGCTAGTGCCCTTCAAAAGACCCTGACACTTTCAAAAAGTGGATAATTTATTGCCTAAATATTATTCTTTGGCTATAACTAAATGTATGGATTTCTTCAAATGCTTAAAGCTGACGAGTCTTTTGTCATGTTTCAGGAAAGTTTGTGACAGTCTCATATGATGAGTGGAACAGAAAAATACAAGACAACTTTGAAAAGCTATTTCATGTGTCAGAAGACCCTTCAGATTTTAACGAAAAGCATCCTGAGCTGGTTCACAAACGTGGCATATACAAAGATAGTTATGGAGCATCAAGCCCTTGGTGTGACTACCAGCTCAGGCCTAATTTTACCATAGCAATGGTCGTAGTAAGTGTTTTGTTTGTTATTTTCAAATTTCAAAAATGTTGTGATAAGATTTATTTAGTTCTTCATTCCCCTTTGTTTTTAAATTCATTTAATTGCTAAAAAGTATATGGTTTACTATCTAGTTTTATAGTCTTTTCTGATCAATAAAGCATTATGCATATCTCCCTTAACCTATAACATTTGGTATCAGAAAATAGAAAATAAGGGATGTGACTAATGAAATGCTTCCCAAGGTCTTTGACATCATAGCACACATAGAAAATGATGATCTTTGTATAGCACACTGGGCTAAACGGATTAGGTTGCTTGTGCCGGATCCAGCTGCTTCAGTCAGCCCCAGGCCCCACCCAACTGCCTTGCCAGCTGAGAGCATCTATATTTCAGCACACCTCTGCCATGACCAGTGTCTCAGCACACTAGTTGGAAAGATCCAGACAGTGAACTAATGTGGGTAGCTTCAACTCACCTTCTGTGCTCTTTGTTGTATTGCTGTAATTAGTTCCATCTAGCCAAAAAGTCTAGACTCTCGTTATTTTATCTCTACTTGGTGGAAAAATAAACTGCAATAGTAAATAAAATAGTGGTAGACTAGAGGAGATATATCTCCTTCCATGCCTGCCTAGCTGTCTCCACTTTGTCAAAAAGAGTACTAAACATAGTACTGTTAATTATAGTAGAATGGTACGTAAAGGTAGCTTCGGTTCAGTGTGCATTTGGTTTCATTTAACCATTAAAATTAATGCAGATCCTTAGTCACCAATGCTTTCTCTCCTTCTCCATATCACAAGTAAATTTACTCACGCTGTTGAAGTGCAAGTCCTTCTTATTTTATTATGACCTCAGAAGCAAAAAATGGTTACCGGATATACTTAAAGGAAGCTATTGTAAATCTTCTGAAGAATGAATTAGATGGGTTAAGTGTGTTCTGCGTTCATTGTAGCTTGGCAGCTTCCTTTTGGAGCTGGTACACTGTCTCGAAATAACATGAGGAAATAATCACCTCTAACAACCTCCCTGACTTCTAAGGCCAGGAACAGTGCTTGCAAGTCAGCCTCATGGGATTAGATCTGGTTAGGTATCTGCACTTGAATTCCGACCCATATTGTATTTTTAAATAGTTTTCATTCTTTTCCACGTTTATGAGTAGTTTATGTTCCACTTTGGGTGGAAACTAATTATTCTATGATCTTAAAAAGTTTGTGTGTTTCTTTTTGACATTCATTAGGCCCCTGAGCTGTTTACCCCAGAAAAAGCATGGAAAGCTTTGGAGATTGCAGAAAAAAAATTGCTTGGTCCCCTTGGCATGAAAACTTTGGATCCAGAGTAAGTTAGAATATAAATATTAAGAATGTTGTTCATATCATACTTAATATATAATTGTACTTAATCTTGGCATTAAAACTTGAAGTCCAGCGTAAGTTGGAGTATAAGGACTAAGAATGTTGATATTATGTTGCATCAATCATAATGTTTTTGCTTGTCAATAAAATCGCTAAAATTGCATTTGAACTGAGTTTTTAAAAATACCTTCTGTGTCTTCATTAAACATCTCTGTTCAAAATGCCATTGGCTGTCCTGTATTCAATAACCAATAAAGAGAGTTTTAAGTTTATAAAACTAATACATTATCAAAATTTTCTAAGGCATATTTTTTTCTGATTGTAAAAGTAATAATTATTATGGACATTGGAAGTATGGACATATTGTCTCCTCAGAGACAATCTTTATTTTCTAAGTTGTTACTCCTAGTAGTTCCTTCCATATTTCTCAATAATATGTGTATGTGGCTGTTTCTTGATTTTTTTAAGTATTAGACATTATTTGTTTACTTCTTGTGATGTGAGATGAAGATTAACTCTATCCCCACCTCTCCACCAACCCTTTGCATCCTTCCTATGTAATTATACCACTATGTTTATTTAAACCAATATATAATTGTTTTTATTTTATGATTATTTGTTTATGCCAATTTATATTTCCTTTCTTTTACTACTTTTGGTTTTTGCTGAGTTTTTAATGACTTTTCTGTTTTACTGTTTTCCTATAAACCTTGATATCTGTCATCAATTTGCTTTCTATATCAGCATATGAGAGAGCCCCATTTCTATAGTACCCTTACTTTTGTAGATTTTTCCTAATTTACTGTGTACTCATTTCAGTCTTGAGATGCAAATTTTATGTGTGTACTTACCTGCATTCTGAGCTGTTCTCCATATTTTCAGAGGTGTTAAGAACTGCTGGTTAAAACTAAAGGCCACAGTTAAAGCTCACTTATGTGGCTAGTTCTGTCTCTCACTAAAAGAAAAAGATGAAAAGTAATAATGAATTAAACTCAGTATAGACTGTCTTATATTTTCTGTTTCAATAAGTTTATAATACTTTGGTTTATAAGTGTGTATAAATTATGTGTGTTCAGTTGCAATCTGTAATCTGATAATACACCAATTTTAAAATAACTTTATGGAAAAGTTTCCAATATATAATAATTAGTAAAACTTTATTTTTAATGCTTACTAATTTAAATTATTCTGTGTATATTTTAATTGTTATAAATATAGTAAAGGCCTAGTGAAATAATTGACTTTAATATTTAGTGTCAAGCTAACTCCTTGAAGCCTAGATACCTGACTATCTTAGATTTTTTTGTATTAGCCAGTAATTATTTGTCAATCATTCCCTAACACATGATTAAAGGCCTCTAAACTCAGTGCATCCTCCTTTAAGGTTAAATGGATAGTTTAGTCTATAGATTCGAAGACAAAATAAATTTGCTTATTTCTCTTACCTTTGCTATTGAAAAATTTTTCTAATGCTTTCTGTATAATGTCTGATCTTTTTTTAACCTAAATTTCAATGATTTTGCAGTGATATGGTTTACTGTGGAATTTATGACAATGCCTTAGACAATGACAACTACAATCTTGCTAAAGGTTTCAATTATCACCAAGGACCTGTAAGAATTTCATTTCTCTTTTCTGAATTTTCATTTAAAGTTATTTTTAAAATAACTTTAGATATTCATAGGTCTTTTCTTTTTTTTTTTTTTTTTTACTTTTAAATTGTCATTTTTAGGAGTGGCTGTGGCCCACTGGATATTTTCTTCGTGCAAAATTGTATTTTTCCAAATTAATGGGTCCAGAGACTAATGCAAAGACTATGTTTTTGGTTAAAAACGTCCTTTCCAGACATTATGTTCATCTTGAGAGGTAAGCTGTTAGGGGCGTGTAATTTCCATAACTAGTGTTTAGTCAGTTTATTATATATTAGGTAAATGACACTTCCTTAGAAGTCATATCTGAATACCCTAGGTACCCCAATGAAATTTGAAAGCTTTACTCTCTAACACAAGTTCTATGATGTAATTTTCCCTTTCCTTTAATTATTTTAGGTTATTTATTTTAATTTGAAGACTTGATATTGTGTGATTTATGCTTGTGGAATAGTCTTTGATTTTTAAAATTTCACTGATTTTTGGATATGGTTAGCACACAATAAATACAAAAACTAAAAGTACTCAGGCTGGGCCTCTTGTGTTAACTGATTTAAAGATATATCAATAAATAATTTTCAGAAATGCTTTCATTATCATTAAAATATCAGAGTTGGTCTTTTGACTTTTATTTCAAACCCATTTGTTGCCTGCTTTGTCCTAATTATTAGCAGATAAATAGTGTCATAGTTATGTGATGATACATAACTATGATGATACAAATTAAGTCAAAAGCTATCTTTATTTCCCAAATTCTAGATTAAACCTACATATATGTCACCTTATTGCTCAGAATAATTATGCGTAAATAGCATAAATTTTATCTCCTTTATTACAAGAACATGAGAGGCTTCCATCTGTCACCATGAATGTTGTGTCAGAGTCTGTTTTCATTAGCTTAACTGTAGTCACAGAAAACCCCAACCCTGCCGTGCTTCTTCTGCCTCATCTAGAGATTGAGTCTGAGTCTGTGTGGTATGAACATTCATATGTTCCATCCTTTATTGCCCCACAGTATTTCTCATTATTTGCATTTGTTTTCTCTTTCTTCCCTTCTGTTCATGAGAAGGAAGAATATCTTACGTTGCAGGGATCGTACTACCATGATCTCATCCCTCCCACCTCTTCCATGACCTTATCCTCTCTTGGTGTTCCACTTGATCCTTCCCCCTTAAGCTACAAAGATATTTGTCAGCCCATCCTAAAATAAAGGCACTTCATCCTGTTCTTACCTCAAGCCTTGTCCTATCATTCTGTTTTCTTTTCAGCACACTTCCTACAGGAGTGACCTCCTGGTTCCTTTTGCTTTCTGACCACCCACCTAGTCAATACCACCTGCAATCTGGCTTTTGTTTTGCCGTCACCACTCTGGTGAAGCCACTCAACGAGATCCTTTCTGGTTCCCAGATCCCATGACCTCCTTTCAGTTCTCTTTGACTTGTTTACAGGATTTGACATTGTTGACTCCTTTTTTCATGAAAAACCTTTTGCCATCCATAGCCTTAGGTTTCCCTGGTTGACCTCATAACAGTAACAACTATAATAATAATAGCAAGTATTACTGAGTACTTAACTATGTTCTAGGCATTGCTCTAAATGCATTTATATAACATTATTCATTTAATCCAAAAAACTATATAAAACAGCTACTACTACTATTATTATTCTATTATTGTTACTATTCACTTCTCCACTTACTAGCTATGTTATCACAGGCAAATTACTTAACTTCTCTAAGCCTCAGTTTCCTCATTTGTATGATAGATGCACTGGGATTGTTTTGAGGATTAATATATTAGTAACGTGTAACATGGACAGAATACTAACTCAGGTATGAGCTGTTATTAGTTATCTCCATTTGATAAATAAAGCTAAGAAAGTCGAGTAATTTATATAAAGTCAAATGGCAAGTAGCATGGTGGAGTCCTTACTGAGCTCCAGGCAATCCTGCTTCATAGGCTGTACTCTTAACCACTACACTGTGGCTCTATTTACTGTTTTTCTGGCTTTTCTTCCTGGTACCTAAATATGTTAGTTCTCCAAAAATCTGTCCTTGATCTTCCTTTCTTTCCTATCTATGTTTTCTCCTCTTATATTTCATCTAATCTCATGTCTTCACTCTTAGGTAATTTTGAACTCTTTCATAAGTTCCACTTCTACTTTTTTTTTTTTTTTTTTTTTAAAGATTTTATTTTTTCCTTTTTTCTCCCCAAAGCCCCCCGGTACATAGTTGTGTATTCTTCGTTGTCGGTTCCTCTAGTTGTGGCATGTGGGACGCTGCCTCAGCGTGGTCTGACGAGCAGTGCCATGTCCGCGCCCAGGATTCGAACCAACGAAGCACTGGGCCGCCTGCAGCGGAGCGCGTGAACTTAACCACTCGGCCACGGGGCCAGCCCCTCCACTTCTACTTTTCAACTACCTGATAAACTTCTTACCTTGGAGTCCTTACTGAGCTCCAGGCAATCCTGCTTCATAGGCTGTACTCTTAACACTACACTGTGGCTCTATTTATTGTTTTTCTGGCTTTTCTTCCTGGTACCTAAATATGTTAGTTCTCCAAAAATCTGTCCTTGATCTTCCTTTCTTTCCTATCTATGTTTTCTCCTGTTATATTTCATCTAATCTCATGTCTTCACTCTTAGGTAATTTTGAACTCTTTCATAAGTTCCACTTCTACTTTTCAACTACCTGATAAACTTCTTACCTTGAATATCCTTCTGCCATCATTCATCTTCTCCCACACACATATTTTTTCTTGCTATAATTCCCATTTCTGTTACAGTGTTAACATTATTTGTGCTCTGCAAATTCAAATAGCCCAGGTGCCTTTTAATTTTACTTCATTACCTCTCAGAACATCCATATCACTGTCAAGACTTGATTCTATCTCTATACCTTCTTCTAACAGCCCACCTTCTTCCTTTCTATTGCCACTGCCTAATTTGTAATTCGTAACGTTTTCTCTGCAATAGGCAACAGCCCCCATACCTCCAGTCTCTCCTCGCTCCATCTTGTCATAGTACCCCAAACAAGATTAATTTTGTTGATATATAACTCACAATTTTAATCTTACATTTAAAAAATCTTCAATAAGTCTCCACTGCTACAGAATGAAATCCAAATTCCTTTGTTTCCATAAGTTTTTCTCAAACTACCTTTCCACTTTTATTTCTTACTCTTTCCTGTAGCTACTTTTGGTAACATTAGCTTCAAGTGTGAGCTTTGGGTTCAATTTGGATTTCAGACTTTGTCCTTGCTACTTACTTGACATGTGACTTTGAGCAAGTTACTTGACCTCTTTGAAATAAATGTCTTCATCTGTAAAATAGTAATAATTTCTCATTATTTGCTCTCAAGATTAAATGAAAAGATAGATCAAAAATACTTGTCACAATTCAAGAAATGGTTTCATCTAAAGTGAATTATTACTCTTTAAAATTATCTGTGGACTCTGTAGTGATGTCAACATTCTCATTCTTGATATTAAGAAGCTATATTTTCTTTCTTTTTTTCCTGATCTGCCTGACTAGAAGTTTATCAATTTTATTGATTTTCTTGAAGAACCAGATTTTGGTTTCATTGATTTTTTTATGGGTTTTATTTCATTGATTTCTACTCTGATCTTTATTATTCTCTTCTGCTTACTTTAGGTTTAATTTGTTTGTCTTTTTCTAATTTTTTAAGGTAGAAGTGGAGATCATTGATGTAAAGACCTTTCTTCTTTTCTAATATAGGTACTTACTGCTGTGAATTTCCCACTAAGGACTAAATTAACAGTACCCCACAAATTCTGATATGTGGTGTTTTTATTTTCATTCAGTTGCAAATACTTTGTGTTTTCCTCTTTGATTTCTTTTCTGACCCATGGGTTATTTAGAAAGGTGTTATATAGTTTTCAAATATTTAAGAATTTTCCAGAGATGTTTCTGTTATTAGTTTCAAAATTAATTCCATTGTGGTCAGGTAATATACTTTATATGACTCTAATCCTTATAAACATATTGATACTTGGTTTGTGGCTCAGAATATATTCTGTCTAGATCACTAATCTGTTTGCAAGTGAAAAAACTGTATGTTCTGCTATCATTGAGTGGAGTGTTCTATAAATGTCAACTAGGTCAAGTTGGTTGATAGTGTTGTACAAAGTACTTACAGATTTTCTATCTACTTGTTCTATGAATTACCTACAGAGGAGTGTTGACATCTCCTACTGTAATTACAAATTGTCTCTTTCTCCTTGCAGTTGTATCAGTTTTTGCTTCGTGTATTTTGAAATCTTAATTTTAGATGTGTAACTATTTAAGGTTGTTATGTTCTCTTGAATTGGTCGTTTTAGATCATTATGAAATGACCTTCTTTACCACTGGCAATATCTTTGCTCCAAAAGCTTTAGGTTTTTTTGGTTTTTTTTATTTTGAGAAAGATTAGCTGAGCTAACATCTGCTGCCAATCCTCTTTTTGCTGGAAGGCTGGCCCTGAGCGCACATCCATGCCCATCATCCTCTACTTTATATGTGGAACACCTACTGCAGCATGGCCTGATGAGCCGTGCCACGTCCGCACCGAGGATCTGAACCGGCAAACCCTGGGCCGCTGAAGCAGGACATGTGCACTTAACCACTGCGCCACTGGGCCAGCCCCTTTGTTTGATATTAATATAAGTGCTCCAGATTTCTTTTGATTTGTTGTTACCATGGTATATATTTTTACATCCTTTTACTTTTAACCTATTTGTATTTTAAATTTACAGTGGGTTTCTTGTACATAGCAGCATATAATTGGGTCTTGCTTGTTTATGCAGCCTCATAATCTCTAATTTTTAATTGGGATGTTTAGACCATTTTTGCTTAATGTGATTATTTATATGGTTAAATATAAATCTAATAGTTTTCTGTTTATCCTGTCTGTTCTTTGTTACCTTTTTCCTCTTTTCCTGCTTCTTTTGTTTTTTTTTTCTTTAAAGATTGGCACCTGAGCTAACAACTGTTGCCAATCTTCTTTTCTTTTTCTTTTTTTTTTTTCTGCCTTCTCTCCTCAAATCCCCCCAGTACATAGTTGTATATTTTAGTTGTGGGTCCCTCTAGTTGTGGCACATGGGATGCCGCCTCAACGTGGCCTGACGAGCGGTGCCATGTCTGCGCCCAGGATCCAAACCAGTGAAACCCTGGGCCACCGAAGCACAGCACATGAACTTAACCACTCGGCCACGGGGCTGGCCCCAACCTGCTTCTTTTGGATTGAATATTTTTATTCCATTTTATCTGCGTTGTTGGCTAATTAGCTATTCCTATTTTGGTTTTTTTTAATGGTTGCTATAGGTTTATAGTATACATCTTTAACTTATCATAGTTTGCCTTCAGTGATATACCACTTCAAGTATAGTATAAGAACCTTAAAATAGTGTAGCTCCATTTCTCTCCAGGCTTTTGTGCTATTATTGTCATCTATTTTGCTTTTACATATGTTATAATCCCCACACTACATTGTTTTTATTTTTGTTTAAGCAGTTATCTTTCAAAGATATTTAAATAATATAGAAAAAACTCTTATACAATTACTCACATAGCTGCCATTTCCAGTGCTCTTCATCTCTTCGTGAATATCCATATTTTCATCTGGTATCATTTTCTTCTGCCTAAAGACTTCCTCTGTTGTGTCTTGTAGTGCAGACCTGCTCCTGATGAATTCTTTAAGCTCTTGTATGTCAGAAAAGTCTTTATTTTGCCTTCATTTTTGAAAGATATTTTTGTTGTGTATAGAATTAAAGGTTGACAAGTTTATTTCTTTCAGTACTTTAAAGTTGTTGCATTTTATGACAAGAAATCTGCTCTCATCCTTACATCTAAACTGCCATTAATTCCATTCAGTGTATTTTTCATTTTATACGTTGTAGTTTTTATCTCTTGAAATTTGATTTGGGTCTTTTTTATATCTTCCACGTCTCTGCTAATTTTGAACATATAGAATACAGTTACAGTAACTATTTTAAGGTCTTTGTCTGCTAATTGATTTCTGGGTCAGTTTCACTTGTGATTATTCTCTTACTGTGGGTCCTGTTATCCTGCTCTTTGCCTGCTAGTGTTTTATTGGATGCCAGGTATGAATTTTATCTTGTTGGCTATTGGATTTTTTTGTATTTCTGTAAATGTTCTTGAGCTTTGTTTTGGAACGCAGTTAAATTATTTGGAAACAGTTTGATCCTTCCTGGTCTTTTAAGCTTTGTTGGGTCTGACTGGAACAATGATTAGTCTAGGACTCATTGTTCTTCACCTATTGAATCAAGACCCATCTGAGTTTTCTACCCCATTTTCCTAAAATTAAGAAGTTTTCAAATCTGGCTGGTGGGAATAAGTACTTTCCTGACCCTGCGTGACTGTCAGGTACTACTTCATCTAATCCTTTTGAGTGGTTCTTTCCCCATCCTTGGTTAGTTTCCTCTTGTGTATTCACTGATCTGTATGCTGCAGATACTTGATTGGGACCCTCTGCATATCTTCAGAGTTCTCTCTTTGTGCAGTTCTCTCCTTTCTAGTAGTCTGTCTTGAAAATTCTAGCTACCTTGGTCTTCCTGGACTCTCAGTTCCATCTCTTCAATTTAAGAAATCTGCTAAGCTCCAGCTGGGTTTCCCTCCCTGTGCCAAATCTTGGAAACTTCCTCAAGACAGTAAGGTATGGTAATCAAAGGACTTACTTCATTTTTTTTCTCATTTCTCAGGGATCACTGTTCTCTGTTGCCTAATGTCCAAGGTCTTGAAAATTATTGCTTCGTATACTTTATTAAGTTCTTTGATTGGTTTGGGAAGGAGGAAAATTATGTCCATGCTATTCCATGTTTGTCAGAAGTAGAAGTCCTTTCTTGCTTTCTGGCCCATTAAGATGTTCTAGGCTCATCTTTTACTTTCCCTGCCCCAGCCTTCGAACTGGGCAATTCTCTAAAGAGCCCTGATTCTTTTTAGTGAAGAATGTTATTTAAAAGCCCAGATCTGGACACTTGGTGTATTCATTGCCCCTGGAGAATCATTGTTAGTGTGTCTTCCAGTAGATAGAGCTAGGAAGTATATATATAATATGTATACACATATATACACGTATATTTATATCTTTATGTATCTATCTCTATGTATTGAAAACCTGTATTCACACCAGCTCCACTCAGTATTTAATTCTGTTTTTCTCCCTTTTCGTATTTGTAATTCTCTTTTCCAACAGTGAGTAACTCCTTACTCTCTGCCGTCTCTACCACGTGGACTCAGCTCACCCTGTCTGGCTCTGACACTGCATGCTGGCGTGCCCCAAGACACAGATGCCCTCTTCACCCTGCTTGAGCCTGACAGCCCCACACTAGGCCACTCTTATGTGTGGATTCCCTGAACACCTGGGCTCTCGGCTACTCCTCCCTACCCCCGCTTGATGTGGTTTGGTGTGAACTCCTTCCTCATACCCCTCAGGCTCTGATATCCTGTCCTGTGCTGCTCCTGCTACCCTTCTGTGGTACTCTCCTCCCCAACTGTGGTCACTGACCTTCTTTGTCCCACTTTATGACTTAAGGAATGAGTTTTTCAGAAAGGAAGGGAAAGGAGACTTCTTTATATCAGGATGGATATGTTCCATGTTCTAGTTCCACATCTGATTATGAGCACCCTATTAGTGGTTCTATAAACTTGTTTTGTTTCTTCATTTCAGTATTGCATAGTTTGCTAGGACTGCCATAACAAAGCACCATAAACTGAGTGGCTTAGACAGCAGAACTTTATCATCTCATAGTTCTGGAGGCCAGAATCTGAAATCAAGGTGCCAGCAGGGCCATGCTACCTGTGAAGGGGCCAGGGAAGGCTCTCTTTCAGCCCTCTCTCCTAGCTTCTGCTAATTCCTTGGCTTGTGGCAGCATAATTCCAGTCTTCACATTGGCATTTTCCCTGTGTGTAAGTCTGTCTCCAAATTTATTTCCCTGTTTTGTAAGGACTCCAGTCATATTGTATTAGGGGCCCACCTCATATCAGTATGACCTCATCTTAACTAATTACATCTGCAATAACCCTATATCCAAATAAGTGCACATTCTGAGGTACTGACGGTTAGGACTTCAACATATGAATTTTGAGATATTCAAGCCATTACAGATACCCAGCTACCCAACTTCAGTAATTTGGCATTTTACTCTGAAGTAGCTTGAATACTTAGAAGCAAGTAAGTTTTCTTATTTCCCATGTCTCTACGACAGCTTTTTAAATATGATACCTAGCTGATGTTAGTTACAGTCATGCACCGCATAATGATGTTTCAGTCAACAACAGGCTACATATACGACAGTGGTCCCATGAGATTAGTACTATATATCCTAGGTGTGTAGTAGGCTGTGCCATCTAGGTTTGTGCAGATATGCCCTCTGATGTTGGCACAACAACAAAACTGCCTAACAATGCATCTCTCAGAATGTATCCTCCTCATTAAGTAACACGTGACTTTATTAGTCATTATCCAAAATATCTCCATATTTACCTAATGTAATTATTTTTTCCATTTTTATTACGAAATGTTTCATACCTACAGAAGAGTATAGGTAACATAGCCATGAGTTACAAAGTATAATAATGAAATAAACGTTCTCACAACCCAACTTAAAAAATGAAACATTACAGAATTCTCTATTTTTTTAATTTATATTTCATATTTAAGGGATTACATTGAAATTGAGTAGATTTGATATGATAATAATGCTGTGTTGTGATAATGAGACCTGGAATAAGTTATGAGCCTCTATAAACGTCTCTTACCTGTTCTGTAAAAAGGAATGATTATGATACATACCTTATAGGGTTGCTGTGAGCATTGAATCAGATAATGAATATAAAGCACTTAGTATTAGAATATAATAAATGCACAATAAATACTAACTGTATTATTATTCAGTAGATGAGAAATTAGTATAGAAATTCAAGTTGCTTTTAATTGGCATTTTTTTCCTAATCATAGTTCTCAGTGTTTCTTGTTTCATATTAATTTTACAATTTTGTCAAATCAAACATAATACATCTATATAGTTACAATTTGAGTCACATAAACTTACTCCAAAAGGAATAAAATTAGGCCTGAGATGATATTTTTCTCTGTATTTATGTATTGCTTGAAATGATAATTTCTTCTATGTTTTTAATACATAAAGGCATTTCTTTGTATTTGGAAGTCTTAAACCCCAAAGATTGAATATCAAAGAATAATTTCAACCTAAATTCTTCATAATACATATTTAGGATATCCTGTTTTATTTTGTAGCAAATGACTATATATGATTGTTTTTTATGCTAGAAGGCAAAAGTACGAGGTGTTTGCCTATTTTGTTAATCCAAACAAGATGTGTATTAGATGATATCTCATAAAATGTCTTTTCTTTCTTTAAGATCCCCTTGGAAAGGACTTCCAGAACTGACTAATGAGAATGGCCAATACTGTCCTTTCAGCTGTGAAACACAAGCCTGGTCAATTGCTACTGTTCTTGAAACACTCTATGACTTATAGTTGATTCATGGATATATATTAAGTATGCAAACATTTGTATTGTCGAATGCAAGTTCATAATATAATGTAAATGCTTTCTATGCACAGGCTCGAGTCATTTTAAAAATCTCGTTCGTATAATATTGATGCTCAATTAGGTAAGACTTTTAAAAGCATTTTGTTTTTTTTAATGTACAGACGTAGCTTTTGATTTGAATCAGAAAGAAAAATTATCATTACCAATGGAATGTTTTTTATTTTGAATTCAGGAAGTATTCTTCAAACACCTAGAAATAGAGTTTGAAATCCAGAGTTTGAAAAAGAAAAATTATGTAATCATCTGTTGTACATAAGCAAAAATGAAGTATGAGAGTGTAATAATGAAAGAAATGGAAAAGTATCTTTAAATTATGGTATATATTTTATTCAGTAACAATACATACTGAATAGGCTGTGGTTAATTAATGTTCTCACCTTTTACTATATTGTTCCTAACATCTTCCACACCTCATTCAATAGATATTAAATGGATGTTGAATCATGGAAGTGTCCACCTTAATATATGTTCGTAAATGGAGCACAGATGTTCATAATGTGCTTTTATTTTTTTCACTAATATAGTAATATCTTTTTAATATAATGAATGCCATAATATTTTTGACATAATTTACTTGTGCTAATGATGCATAAGATATTTGGGGAAAAAACACAAGCATTAGGAATTTATTTCCTAAAAACAGTTTTATAATATTAGCTTTGAGTTCCAGTTTCCTACTATGAAATGGTTTATGTTTTCACAATGCAAATTGTTGGACATATTTATGACAATTTTAAAGAAAAAAGCTATATTAATTTTCTAAAAATTATTTTTAGTTCGCATAAAAGTCTTGATAGATCACGGTAGATACTGGTTTCCTATTAACTAAAACCTACATTGACAAATTCAGCATTGAGAACAATTTTAACATAATAAACATATAGATATGAATTCAGTAGTTATCTTGAATTCTATAAAATCATTTTAAAATGTTTTTACATTAACATACCTCAAATCTGAAAAAGTCATAAAAGGAAAAAGTTTTAATGTTTATGAGTTAACATTTTTGAACAGTACTTATTTTCTAGATGGAATTTTTCTACTATTTTTGTCTCAAGGAAACACTTAAATTAGATTATTGTACTTTCAGTTGAAAGAAAATAGTTGCAAAAATCTTTTCATTACTATTTAATATTATTCAGTGGTATATTTATAGTTCAGTATAAATTAACTATAATTATCGTGATATATTTATAGTTAATAAAATAATGGTACATAACACTTTTCTCAGTTAAAGGTCACAAACCAAAACACCTTAACTGTCAATAAGAAATAAAAATAAAGAAGAAAAACAAACTAAAATTTCTGGGTAGGAAAAATATACAAATGCTTCCGATATCAAATGCCCAGGCTCAAAAACTCATGCAATTTCCTGTAAGATTGCCTGCACACACTTCCTCAGAGCTGACCCTGCTTTAGAAACAGTTTGAACCAGCTTACTTTTCTAGTTTTCCCAGCCCAAAGCCAATTAAATCCTACAGACTTAAGGACAGTTGTGGTGATAATCTGACTGCTATCTATAAGCACACTGGTTTTCAAGTTTCCCCTCCTTCAGTGCTCAATGTATAAGTGTCTATACCCTGTGGGTTAAAAGGAATGAGCTTTGTTGAGAGAAAGAAGCATTAGTCAGCAAAGGTTTATGTAGTTATGTTGCTGTACTGTAACTTCTACATTAAAGGTAGGAAGAAAAGTAACTGGGAACCAGCAGATGTAATGAAAGCAAGGAGTAATAGTTCATAGTTAAATGTGATAAATAAATAATAAATAACAAGTTGAGAATTTTTAAAACATAGCCATATTAGGTTATCTATAGTAGGGCAAATACCCACCTCAGTAATTTTTTAGGATATCGCGTTGCACTAGGAAATTAAGCGGTTCTTATTCCTAATAAGGAAAATTAATGAAAGAACATTATTATATCTGCATGGTCTAGTTTACCGTTTAAGAAGGCATGTTACACATTATTTCATCAAAGGTAGTTAAAATAACAGTTACAGATTTTGGAGGAGTAAATGTCATGTGACTAAAGAGCATTTATTAAACAGAATGCTTCATTCCTGAGTGATGTTAGATGAGGTACCATTATATTACTTTTCGACAATGGCTCATGCCTTGGTTCTTCACAATCGAAATCAGCCTTACTCTTTAACTTGAGAAGTAAGTTTGCCACTTAAACCAGTATGTTGTGATAATTTTATAAGTTTCAAAGATAACTGAGGAAACATGAGACCTGTCTTCATATCTGTGAACATTATAACCTAGCGAATTGTAATCCGTTTCTGATATGTCTTCAACTGCTCCATCTAGTGGGCAGATGTCATTTTCATGTCTGTGTGCCAAGAAAATAAAAATGTTTTCTAAAGGACTGTATTTTGCTTTCATTTAATTCTTTACCCATTAACTAATTTGTGGGTGCTGACCACTACATTCATTCAGGGCTTGCTTATTTGGACTGCTTATCTTTTTGCAGGATGTCTGAGAACGGAAAGAGGAGGAAGAATTTTAGGCTGTTTGGTAATTGATTTAATTAGCCATGTTGAAATTAGGAGCAAAATAAGCTTTTGATGTATCAATAGATGTTAGCAACTATATACTCTTCTGTTATTTCTTGATACCTTCTACACTACCATGAATTTTTTATTTACTTTTCATCGACTTACTAAAGGCAAATAGTACAGGCCAGAACAGACGTACTGTAGATGGATGCCTCCTTCAGGGGCCAGAAAGATCTTTTCACTGTTAATTATACAACTGAATAACATATACGTATATTCTGAATAACATCTAATGACCAAAGTTGATTCATTTGGTCTTTGCCTTAATTACTGTTGGTTCATTTTTACTGCAGATATATATCTTTATCTTCAGATAAAAAGCATTAACCTAAAAATCCAAACCTCTCACCATCAAACAGCCTTTATAAGTGAATTTGTCAAACTTGCCAAACTTATATAGATCCTCAATGTGCCAAAATAATAGATTCGAGTAAGTTGCTTAGTTTTATTTATTTTTTTATTTGTATGAGCCTTGAATTATTAACTAATACTGATACTTTGTCATTTTGGCTACAATTTTTTTTGTAATGTATTTGCCTTGTTATTTTGGTTAGAGGGTTTTGTTTAATTTACAAAAGCTTTTAAATTTTCTTTAATCAAATTTTTTAGTGCTTATCTTTGTGAACTCTTTTGTAAAAATCTCTTCAAAATTTAATCAACCTCATTCAATGATTTAATACACTTTGCTTCTGTGTTCTTCTGGTTTTAGATTTATATTTTTTATAGCAGCATCCAGTATAAGGTGAGACATTATTTTCAAGTTGTTATATTCCAAACTCATGAATTGAATATGATTTATAGTGATTCCTTTTTTTTTTTTTTAAAGATTGGCACCTGAGCTAACAACTGTTGCCAATCTTTTTTCTTTTTTTCTGCTTTATCTCCCCAAACCCCCCCCCCCGTACATAGTTGTATATCTTAGTTGTGGGTCCTTCTAGTTGTGGCATGTGGGAACGCCGCCTCAACGTGACCTGACGAGCAGTGCCATGTCTGCGCCCAGGATCCGAACCCTGGGCCGCCATAGCGGAGCGCGCGAACCTTAACCACTCGGCCACGGGGCCGGCCCCCTGTGATTCCTTTTTTCAATTATTGAGTTTTTATAGAATAATAGACTATACTGAGATATGCTACTGAAGTTATCTGTGCCTATTCGCTTATTTAACTATTACAATTTTTTGTTTAAATATTTGTTAGAGATTTTTCTCACCACCTTTCACCAATCCCTTTCTAAGAATCTTGTTTTACATACCCACTTATTTGTTCTTCTTAAATATTTTCCATATCCAAAAAGTATTCTAACATTTTTACTAAACTGGTACTCATGCTGTACTCACCTAAGGACATAGAGTGTCTGTTTATTTAAATTTATTTTAACTTGCTGGAATTTTTCCTAATTTTATGTTTTTGGTTGCTATTATGAATGTGATCCTTTTTGGTTCAACTTAATAACCAATTAATCAGAATAAAAAATTCAAGTTCAACAAATATGTATGAGACCTACCATGTAAATTATGTTGGAAGTATCATACACATTTTATAAATGAGAACATTGCTAAAGTGTTTCACCCTAAGTCACACAACTGATAAATTACTGCACCAAGACTCAACTCCTCTTCCTACCACAAATTCTCTTTCAGAGATTCTCAAGATTGCAGTTTTGTGTGCTCATCTTCACATTTCTTGCCACCATCCATCCGTAGGTCAAGCTGTGTCTGTTAGCAGTTGCCCATCTGATTAGGGAAAGCATTAGACCCTGTTCTGCTGGGGTCTGGATATGCTCCCTTATTATCACCTGGTCAAAATGCTATAGCTGCAGCCATCTGCCTTAGTAAGATAACTGATAGATTCCTGGCTAAATATTCAGACTCAAAGTGCCAGCCATGGGTTAGGTTACCCAACCTGGCTAACGTGCAAATGTAAGTGTCTTATCAAGGTGAAACAGAGAAAAGTCAGGGGTAATAGGGAGCATAATAGTTAAGAGATGGCCACTGTCAAAGTTGATACATGAGAATTTGGTCAAAAGTTAGGGTTCATCCCCAGGTGTGCAGAATACCAAAGGAAACAAGTTTTATCTATGGAAGTTTACTAACAAATATAGCACTTAATTCTGCAAATGTTTAATGTTAATATATTTATTGTAATTGATATATTTTGAAAGGGCATAACTGAGCACTGTCTTATGACACATTTTCTTATAATCACGACATAAAGGAGAAGTGCTCCAAAAATGATTCATCTTGACTCCTACATCACATTCGATGGATCTCAGTCTTTTCACTTTTACCTGCCTAGGTTCCCCTCTATTTCCCTCTTTCTATTTGCACTTATGTCCTTAGACTAACATGATAATTTCTTAATTGATCACAACTTACTCCACCCCTCATAGAGCTATGAGGGAAGCCTTTCTTGAACACTGATACTATTCCATCACTGTGCAGAGGACATCTGGGATCCTCTGTAATTTGGCCCCAATCTCTTCCCAGCACAATGACTCTTTGGTCTTTCCAAAGCTGATTACTTGCCTCTCTGGGCCTTTGTTTCTTCAACTGTAAAAACAAGGATAATGGTAATACCTACCCTGCAGGGCAATAAGGATTTGTGAAGGTGACCCACAGTATATCAGGATTAAGTTTGACTGTATATAACAGAATCCAAATAACAGTGGTCTAAATGAGATAAAGGTCCTGAGGGGTACAATGCAGAATTCATACGCTGGCTCCATGGGCATCAGGAACCAAGGCTAGCATCTAATGACAATATTCTGTCATTTCCCGGATATAATTTTTTTTAATGTGAGCTCATTGTCTCCTATGTTGTGAGCAGAGATGTACAACAATCTGTTTATCAGTGGTTTCTCCAAATTATTTTTTCTCTTGACTTCCCAAAGCTTGATCTTGGGCAAACAAGAACTCAAAGTTTATATGATCTGAATTAGGTGCAAATTTTATGGTTTGGTTAAAATAAGAACAAATTTTATAATTCATAATTTTATATTTATATTTTAAAAATTTGTAATTTAATACATTAAATTTTTAAAAAGTGAAATAGCCATTGAAGTCTTTACTTATAAGCAAGATGGAATTTTGTACAAATTTTTGTTGTTTCTGGTTCGATTGGTTTTAATTCTACTTTGGTCTTTCTCCTCATTTAACAAAGGGAAAAAAATGTATTACAACAGACAAATAAATAGTGGGGAATAAATGCCTAGAGAGCGATTGCTTAATAGACTTAGACTTCTCTTGTTTCTGAGTGTCTTTAGGAAAGATAAGCTGTTTTTTTTTTTCTTAAGCAATTTCGAAGCACTAACTCTAAGATCTAGAGTAACTTTTTATTAGAGTTTCACTTAACTTACTAGAATTCAGCTCTGCTTACTCAGAAATAAGCAAATGTGTTGCTCCCCTCAAGGGGTCTTCATTTCTGTGTGTTTCTCATAACGTGATTGTTCCATTGGGCCAAGTATGATTCTAGTATTTAAAAAGATATTTTCCATAAAACATGGTCTCCTAAACCAGTGCTTCCAACCTTTTACCTATTGTGGAACACGTAGGAAAAGATAGTTAAGCAGCATTCTGTGGTAAACAAGAGGAGGATGTTACAGCTGGTGACAACTAGTCAGAGATGGATTGCCCGAAGGGCTAAGAAAAACTGTCTCATCACTCTTGTTACTTTCTCAGCATGGAGTCCCACAGTGGTCGGGAAACTGCCTTCAACACAGAGGCTACTTTACCTTGTGCCCAACCTAGCGAAGAACAAGTCGTTTATAATTAAAGGGGAAAATGATTATGTTGGACTTGTTAAGGGGATGGCTTATCAGTTTTCAGCCTAGAAACCTCTTAAGGAATGAATACTCAAGTATAATTGCTTTCCTAGAGAAAAAAAAGTTGTTTTGAAATACATTGCCCATATATATAAAAGAGTATATAATATATATGCACCTTTGAAGTTCACCTTAAATAATTAAACAACAATGAACCCAACACAGAGTAGAAAACTAAAGCAAATTTCCTGTCCCTATGTTAAACAATACTGAGACCAAACCAAGATAGTAGGTGTGTTTTCCAGGAATTCTTGCTGTAGGAAGATAAGACTGTAGACCAACTAAAACAGCTTGCTCGTCAGTATTTTTCTGATAATCATCTTGCTCAACAAGATTTGCTTCTAAACACTTGCCTCACTTTGTGCACCAATACAAAAATGTTGTGTTATGAACTCTTGACTAATCTCACCCAGCTCCACATTGCAGGGTCTGCCTTAAATATCACCAGCTGAGTCTCAGTACTCCTAAATACGTTTCCCTGACTTACTCCTCTTGAGAAACTACTAAGACTCTGTTAAGATGGTTTTCCTTGCTGCAATGTGTAATGCATGATCAACAGGTTTTTCTGGAGGTATTTGTGGGAGAATTTCAGAATAGAATCTTACCAATATCACTAAAGGGCACTCTGTGCCCCTCCAAATCTGACCCCACTCTGCCACTGGGCTGTCTTCCCTCCTGATTTTATGTTAGTCATTTTCTTACCCAGCTCTATAGTGTTATAGATGTATATCTTAATATATATATTTTCAGTTTTGCCCATGTTGACCTTTATCTAATTGAAACCCTAGTATTTCTAATCTTTTGGTTTTTTGGGTTTTTTTTTGAGGAAGATTAGCCCTGAGCTAACATCTGCTGCCAATCCTCCTCTTTTTGCTGAGGAAGAGTGGCCCTGAGCTAACATCCGTGCCCATCTTCCTCCACTTTATATGTAGGACCCCCGCCACAGTAGGGCTTGCCAAGCGGTGCCATGTGTGCACCCGGGATCCAAACCGG